GGTTGCTGCGGGAAGGCCGCCGCTGCGGTCTCAGTTGTAGGAGCAGCCGTAGCGACCGGAGCGGAAACACCCGTGTATGTGCACTGGGAGGGAGCACAACCCTGAAAGATAGGGAATGCCGCAACACCACTCGACTGGGCGATTGTGCGCTGGCAAGTCTCTATCTCAAAAAGGGCAGCGACAAAAGCGGTCAAGGTGAGGACACCAGGGTGCTAGCTAAGGAAGTGATCGCTAAGCGGTCAGGCAGGCGCATGGCAATAAGGTACAGGGTAGCGCAGAATGGCGGGGGGAAGGCAGTGAGCTGTGTAGTAGTGCTAGCAGCGCGGTAGCTAGTCTTTAGTGCACTGAGGTGGGTGGCGAGATCAGCGACAGTGGGGAAAGTAGAGAGATCGGGGAAGAGCATGGGGAGGATCAAGCGTCCAGCTGAGGCGGAGGCAGACATAGAGTAGCGTGCAACTACTGCATCTAAGAAGTCTTTGGCATTCGCGACAGCAGTGAAACACGGACGCTCAGAAAAGGGAAGCGCATGACTAATGGCAAGCTGCGCTACAACATCGCGAAAATCCCAGACAGCGCGAACGAGCGCAGCAGCAGCAAAGGCCTCACTCTCAACAGTGGTGGGGTCAGCAGAGAGGGGGTCAAGCGCGGAGGGGTGAGGAAGCAAGCCATCAACATGCATAGCCAGGGAGTGCCCATCCTGGCACTGACCTTTCATGTGCCGGCGGAGATCGACAAGCCAGGCGGCGAAGTCGATCGCGCGCCCCTTCGCGTCCAGACGTAGCATGGCGTCCGCCATCGCGCAACCACGGTGCCACTAGGATACAGCGGTTTAGCGGCACAAGGACACAGGTACTCAGCTGCACGGCGAGACAACGACGCGGTGGCAGGACTCTCCGGAACGGGGACCGGATGGAAGATCGAGGAGGGCGCGCGAGGAGCCTTCGGGCGCGCAAGGGGCAGAGGCGCACGAGGGGCCGGTCAGGCGTGCGAGAGGCCGGGCAGGTGCGGGAAAGGGCCGGCGCGTAGAGAGGAGCCGGCAAGGTGCGTGGGGATGGCGGTGCGAAGGAGAGGGGCCGGCTAGGCGGTAGGGGCCGGTTAGGCGCGAGGGGCCGGCTTGGCGCGAGGGGTCGGCTGGGTGAGAGAGGCCAGCTGGGCGCGAGGGGCTGGCTGGGCGTGAGGGGTCGTGACGGCGCGAGGGGCCGGCTAGGGCGCGAAGTGCCGGCTACGGTGCGAGGGGCCTAGCTAGGCGCGAGGGGCTGGCGACGGCGCGAGGGGCTGGCGACGCCGCGAGGAGCCGGCTACGGTACGAGGGAGGGCCAGTTGGGCGGGAAGGGGGCCGGCTAGGCGCGAGGGGTCGGCTAGGGCGCGAGGGGCAGCTAGGCGTGAAGGGGCCGACTAGGCGTGAAGGGGGGGTGGGGGGGGCGACTAGGCGTGAGGGGCCGACGACGGCGTGAGGGGCCGACTAGGGCGCGAGAGGCCGGCGACGGCGCGAGGGGCCGGCTAGGGCGCGAGGGGCGGGCTAGGGCGCGACGGGCCGTCTACGGCGCGAGGAGCCTGGCTAGGCGCGCTGGGCCAGCGATGGTGCGAGGGGCTGGCGACGGTGCGAGGAGCCGGCTACGGCACGAGGGAGGGCCGGTTGGGCGTGAAGGGGGTCGGCTTGGCATGAGGGGCCGACGACGGCGTGAGGGGCTGACTAGGGCGCGAGAGGCCGGCGACGGCGCGAGGGGCCGGCTAGGGCGCAAGGGGTCGGCTAGGGCGCAAGGGGCCGGCTAGGGCGCGACGGGGGGCCGGCTGGGCGCGAGGGGCCGACTAGGCGCGAGAGGGGGGCCGGCGGGGCGCGAGAGGCCGACTAGGTGCGAGGGGTCGGCTACGGCACGGGGGGACGGCGGGCACGCTAGGGGCCGCCGGAAGCGCTAGGGGCCGGCGAGGCGCAGTAGGCTAGGGCGCGGGGCGAAAGCGGGTGGGGGGGGGGGGGGCTAACCTACTCATGATACCATGTTGGAATACTAGAATAGTTAGAAAGAAGAGAGAACAAGGGAGATATAGAGTTTGGGTTGTACTCTCTAAGAGCACACACCTATTCTAGCTTATAACTTCTACATGCAAATGTAGGTATAAGTTGACAGTACTTTGGAATGACAAAGCAAGATATAGGAACACCAGAGCAATCCTAGCCACGTGATCGAACAGGTTCGTAGAAGGCATCCGAGACTGCGGAGCGCTTCGGAGTGACGCGGAAATGGTTCGGCGCCGTGTTCGGGCCGAAGCTAGGACAGATGTCGGTGTCGTGTGGGGTTGATGTACGCGGTAGCGGTGTGGCGCACTAAGGGAAAATTCCTTAGTGCATACCTGAAAGATGGGATGTTGCGCTTTATGAGGCCGTGTAGCCTAGCGTCCGAACAGCCTGTGTTTGAACTTTCACCGCACTGTACCACACTATTGTCTTGCTGAAAAACGCCAAGACCGTTTTTAGAGCTGATGTACCACTCTGACCGACCGAACTTTCAGAAAGTTCGGACGCTAAGGCCGCGTTCTGAAGTTTGGCCGAACTTTGAAGTTTTGCCAACCGACTCGCCACGTCGGCATTGCACATTGCAATGTTTGGCCGTGCGCGTCGAACTTTGGCCAACCAGCCCTTTCCACACATTGCCGGCCAGAATTCGTGCGACTGGGGTCCACAAACAGCTGCGACCAAGGGCGAAACCTGGTTTCTGCATACTTGGCCGGCCACGCCAAAGAAATGTGACGTCGACCAAGCCACAAAAGCAGCACCAACCTGCCCGGCGCGCGAACAGCCGTCAAACTGAGAATGCTCCACCCTTCTTCACCAAAGCCTTCATCAACACCCCAACCAGAAGGAGATGGCCTTAAAACCCGCGTGTAAACTTCTTCGAGTTGCGTATATTTGGTTGAAAGATCCCTGGAAGTGCTGCCTGAAAGCCAATCCCGTCTTGCCACCTAACCAACATACCTTTCGTTGAACTGCTTGGCACAATGGTTTTAACTTTTTATTCTGGTGGAAATTTGGTGTTTTTTTTTTTCAGGACAACTTTCCCAGAATTATCTGGAAGCTGGCCGTCAGGTGTCGCAGTCCTCTGCGACCAGGTAGTGTTCAGTCGCATATCATTCTGCGGATCGCCTGTCGATTTGATTTGGCGCGATGGGGTTCCGTTCGCAAATGTCGCGGCCTGGTCGCCTAGTTTTTCGCAGAAAGGTTGGCCAAAGTTCACCTACCACAACTTTTGCCAACCAAAACCTCAAACTTTGGCCAAACTTTCGCTGACGTGGCGAATCGGTCGGCCAAACTTCAACTCGGCCAAACTTCAGAACGCGATCTAAGCTACACGCCCTACACTGCAGGCTGCACGCATGCGCCGAGCAGGCAGACGTGGCATTGGATTTTTGGTTGTCCCAGCTGCCTTGGAATGCTGGGAAGGACTTCCGCGCCGATAAAATGGCTTGGGGTTCGGTTTGGTTTGTAGTTGTTGGGGTTTGCCGGACTTGTCATTCCTCAACCGGGAGGACATGATTGGTACGGCTGAACGGGATTATCGGGCCCAATTACGACCATGCGGAAAGCTGTAGTTGTCCCACGCTTTCCGTCACTAATGCAACTAGCCAAGCGAATGATAGGAGTTGAGCTGTACAGTACCCGTAACGTGCTTTTGGGTGAAGCTAAGTCCAACTTTGTAGGGCAGGCAGAGCCCCAAAACAGTGACTACATTTTGGGAAAACGGTAGTACACTATATTTGCTCCCCCGTTTTTTAAGAGCAGTACCCTTAGTGAACATTTATTGGGTTCTGTGTGGTGACCCTCGATGTGGTTGGTTTGGTTTGTTTTGGAGCACTGAATGGCGGAAGCAAACCAAGCCCAAAGCTGGACGAAGTCGATATCACAAAGAAGTTTCCTGCCCCTGACACTGTGCATGCCTCCAGCTGCCACCGCTAGAAACTCCAAGACGAGAAATCGGCGCGCTGTGGTGGCACCTGCTGTGTGGCCCGATGCGTGGCTCGGAATTTCACAAGCCTACAGCTTTGAGGTGTTCCTTGCCTGCTTAGCAGGTTCGCCTCCTCGATCTACGCCGAATCTGTGGAAAGTTAGCCAATCGCCTTGCTTCCTTCAGAGCCACAGGCATGGCATTGTGTCAGGTACCTGTGGACGAGAAAAATACCCTTTCATTTTCCTGAACTTCCAGCCTTCGTCGTCAATTGCGCATCTCTTCTCAGAATTGTAGACCTGAACTGGCATTATCTTGTCGCACGAGGCAGAAAGTGGAATTTGAATGTGAGCGGCAGCAAGTACTGGAGCATTGCTAAGCGGCTCAAAACTTGTCTTCCAAACCCCCTCTCGTCGGTGTATTTGAAAGGGGTTTCTGCAAACTGCTTCTGCTTTTGGAAGGGCGGATGTATGTTTGCTACTGTCAGCACCCACAGTTGCAGCCGTCGCCAAGCCCTGGCCAAATCCCCTGGGTTGAATGGCGGGCTCCATTAGGCGCTCAAAGCCCCACCCCAGCGCCTCCAATCAGGGCAAATTCTGAGGAGCAGCCGCCACGCCACAAAGAGCTCATCTCGAACCGCGAATGGCTCTTCTAGATCCTGGTTGTGGCTCGCGATCCGAGGCTTCTCCGCACTTAGACGAGTGTGGCCGTCGAGATCAGAGGCTGGGATGCAGGCCTCGCGTGTGGCGCAGGTGGCGGCAGGCTCGCAATTCGCTTAGCATCTGACGGAACAGAGTGATGAGGAGCCGGAGGCGGACGGACGACGACGGATGGATGACGAATGGTGGACGGAAAGGGCGTTTGGTTTGGTGGGGCCTGGACTGGCCGGGCCACCCCACAGAAGGCAGAAGGCCACTCCTACTGTCGCGTGCTGGCTGTGCCAGGAAGCCAGCCCAGCCTGCTTGATCGCCTGCTCGCAGCCTTTTCCCAACAATTGCGCTGATCTGGCCAGAGTTGGAGGACGGGATAGTGCCTTACTCACCACATTCTTTCACCGTCTCCCCGGGTTGCGCGAGTTCCGCGACTTTTTGGGCAAAGCACCCAGCGAGAGCGCTTCTCTGATCCACTCCATCCAAATTGCTGCCTGGCCTGCTGCAGCTTCCACGCGAGTTTCAACGCAATCCGTGCATCCACTCGTCTTTTTCTCTCTATCTCCCTCACAACCCCAGATCTGCGACGCCCGAGGGTCGACCAAGCACCCTAGAAGGCTTAGAACCGCCGTGTAGCCTCCAGTCCCCGTCCCTCCTCCGTGCAATGGGTGCTAACCCTGCACATTCCTGTGACTCCCGTGAGCCCAGAATACTCCGTTCAGCTTGATAGCCGAGAACCATTCCACGGCGTGCAACGCGCTCGCACAGCCGTCGGATCTACTTATCTAATAATCTGTCGATCTGCCCGTAAATGGCCTCTGTGATCAGCCCCTCAACACCGTTCCAGTGCATGCAACCTCCCACTAACAGCCCAGGATCCCTCACAGGCAGCCATAACGCAACCACCACCATCACCGAATCTCGCACCATCTCTTGCGCCGCGACGCCGCGAATCAAATCCATGTCTTCGCCGCTTAGCAACCGGCCATCTAGCTCGTTGTTAACGGAGGCGATCCCTCCGCCAGCCGGCCCGACTAAACCGTCAGGACTCGCCGGTTCCCAGCCCCCCATTCCCCAGTATTCGTCATCCCTTCAGCAGAGTCTTCCGCAGAAAGCCCTTCCTAGGTGGGACAATCAAGCGCAGGCGCTGCTGCTGCAGTCTAAGTCTCCGCCTCTGTCGCCCGCACTCGCCGCGATCCCGAGCGCAGCCTCCCCGTTCTCCCCGCACACCCCCCCCGTGCCGAAGTTCGCGGCGAGCAATGCGGCTGGTCGGCCGCAGCTGCCGCATCTCGCGCTTCCCAGCCCGGATCCGAGCCCGGCGAGTGTCGCTCGGGATCATTGCATGGCGGAATGCGACGACGAAATGGTTACCGACGCCGAGGGATGCAGTTCGCAGAAACAGGCGACTTCGCCTGGATCAACGACGGCGCCGGCGGGAGGGGAGATCCAGCAAACGTCGCCGGCAACAACCGCTGAGCCAATTGACAGCGCAAGGTAACGGCATGACCTCGACTGAAGGCATAAACGTGCAGATCTGGTCGCGCTCTGACGAAGCAACCTCCTATCCCGTTCATATCTTCTATCTCCTCCCTCCTTCTCGCAAACCCCCCGCCCCCCTGCCCCTCCTCCCCGCCAATTTTCCCTCCCTTTTTCTCTCCACGGTGTCTTAATCCCCCATATTTGCCCGATGTCCTCACATCTCCCACGCTGCCGCGAACCCGAACGCAGCCCCAACGGCAAGCGGAAGCGGCAGGCCGACGCTAGCGACTGCTGCGACGCGCATTCACCAGCGGCCCCGCTTGCTGCGTTCTCGGCCGCGGCGGCGGCGGCGGCGGTGGCGGTGGACGCGGTGGCGGCGATTGCGGGCGCACCAGGAGAAGGCGGTGCGGGCCTGAGCGGTTCCATGGACACAGGATCTGACGGCCTGTTGCCTGTGGAAACTCCCACCAGAGACTCCGACGTCAAGCCGGCTCCGCTCACGGTGAGTACCTGCCTCTATGCGCTCTCGTACATGCCTTGCTGCCCCAGCTGCCCCTACTGCCCCCGAATCCCTGTTCCTCCTTCCCCGTTTCGCTTCCATGATCTTCGCCCCGTGTCCTCATGTTTCCGCTCGTTTTTCACGACGGCCCTGATCTTTTCACTCGCGTTTCGCGGCGCCCTTGGCCTGTCTGTCGCAGGAGTCGCCGTCGCCAGTGCAGCTAGCGCCGTGGCTTCCCTCTCATGCCCTTCACTCGCACCATCCCGAGCAGCAGCAGCACCACCAGCAGCAGCCGCTGCAGCAGCCGCAGCATTTCAACAGCAACAGCGCAGCACCTCAATGCGCCGACGGCCCTCTCTGCACCTCCTGGAATGCCAAGAAGATCTGCAGCCAACCGCCGCTACAGCCGCCGCTGCAACCGCAGCTACAGCACCAGGCGCAACCGCTCTGCTCACCGCTGCACCAGGCGCAACCACACCAGCAGCCGCTTCCGCCTCTGCCTCCGCAGCAGCCGAATCCGCAGACGAATCTGCGGTCAAATCCGCCGACGAATCAGCAGTCAAATCCGCAGCAGACTCCGCAACAGCCGCAGCCATTCACCCCAGCGCCGCTCCCACCCGCGGCTAGCGGCGAGGGGCGGTGGAATCACGACCAGGCGCGCCCCGTCGCGGAAGCTTCCGCCCCTCCCCTTCCGCCTCTCTCGGAAATCCAGCAACAGCCAATGCTCGGCGTCAGCAAATTCGGCGGCGGCGGTGGCGGCGACTATCGGGAAATACGACCGTCTCCAGCGGCGCCGGCGGCGGCGGCGGTATGCGCTGCTGTTGCGCCTACTGCCGCGTCGCCGGTGGTGTGCGGCACGGCGTCGCCGTTGCTCGCTGCGCGGAGCGGGAACGCACCGGCGGCAGCAGCAGCAGCATCGCCACCACCAGCAGCAGTGACAGCAGCAGGAGCAGCAGGGGAGGTGTCTCCAGCACCCCCCGTCCCCCTAGTCTCTCTCACCGCCAGCGCTCCCACTCCCACCGCATCTCTCGCCGTCAGCAAGCCGCCCGTGACACCCGGCCCCACTGCGCGATCCGCGCTGCCCACTGTCGACGAAGCCGCATCTCCGCCCAGCACCCAGAACCCCCCCCAGCCGCAGCAGTCACAGCTGTCGCAGCAGCAGTCGCCGCAGCAGTCGCGGCAATCGCGGCAGGCGCTGCAGCAGATGCAGCCTCTCGACAGAACTACCGTCTCCCGGCAGCCGTCCACCATCCGATCGCCTCTCCAGCGGTCGATCTCATGCTCCGGAGTGCTCTCCGCCGCGCCTCCCCCCTCCCCCCGCTCCCCCAACCAGCTCCGCAAATCTGGGAGCTTCGCCACAACCGCTTCCTCCCCGCGCCTGCTCCCCCTCGCCCCGCGGATCCGGCAGGTTCTTCCGACCGCCATGGCGCCACATATTCTTTCCCCCCCTGGCGGGGCGAACATGATACCGCCGGTGGGGCAGAGAGGGGCTAAGATTCTGGGGCTCATGGGGCTTAGCATGTCGCCCGGCGTGCTTTCCCCGCTCGTCGCGCGTCCCCCGCAGCTGGGGTACGGCGTCCCGACGCGCCCGTCGTTGTCGCCGTTGCCGCTATCGCCTGCGCCGTCGCCTGCGCCGTCGCCGGTGCTGTCGCAGCACCTTCCGTCGCAGCTCCCGTCGCAGTACCTGTCGCCGCAGCAGCAGCCGCTGCAGCAGTCGCAGCAGCAGTCGTCGCCGCTGCTCACTAAGTCGCAGAGCTTCTCCGTCGCGCCGTCGTCGCTCAAGGCCAAGCCCGCAATGCCCCCCAAGAAGGGCAACTTCAAGCGCAGTTTCAGCGCGCCGCGCCTCGCGCTCACGAAAGACGTCCTCCCTCCCCCCGACGCCGCCCCCCCGACTCCCTCCGCCATGGACGTCGACGGCGGCGGCGGCGGAGGAGTCGGTTCCGCGACGCTTGCGCCGGGCGGATGGACTCCGCAGACCGGCGCACTGCGCAACCCCAGCGTTCCCCCTTCCCTCTCCCCCCAAATCGGCGTGCCCCTGTCCCCCGCGCCGCTTCCGCGTCCCCCCCCCCGGATTCCCTTGCGCCCCTCGGGTCTCCCGCCCAACCGTCCCCGGCCCAAGGAAGCCGAGCCAGCGTCCCGCCAATGACGTCGGCGGCGGCGTCCCCGGCGGCGCTGGCTATGGCGGTGCCGCCGCCGCCACTTGCGGCGATGATGTCGCCTCAGCTGTTGCCTGAGGGGCTGGGGTGGGTGGAGCGACTATCGAATATCGCGCACCGGAAGGTCAATGCCTTATCCGCCGCTAAACCCGCCGGCGTCGCCCCCGCTGCCGCCGCGAGCCCCGCGGGGGGCGGAATTGGCGGGGCGGGAATGGCGGGGAGAGGCGCGGGGGAAACCGGCGGAAGGGGAGGGAGGTTGAGCTGCGCGCCAAGCGAGTCAAACACTTACTTCTCGGAAAACGGACCGAGTGTTACGCCTAGCGTGAGTGGGGCTCCGAGTGTGACCTTGGGAATGCCGAGCCAGATGCAGACGAGCCCGTCCGCCGTGAGCCACTTTATAGGAAACGCCAATATCGCGGATGGGGCAACCCGCGGGGGAAACCCGGGGCACGGGGTTGGGAAGGAGTCTGGTATGTGGGGAGTGAGTGAGGGAGGGGGTGTGAGCTTGGAGGGGGGAAGCCCGGGAGGTATGGACATGGGTGGGGGGGTGTCGTCCCCGTATCGAGGAGGAAACATGGGGGGGCAGCAGAGGGGATGCGGTGGTAACATGCAGAACCATGGCTTTCAGCAGCAGCAGCAGCAGATCCAGCAGCGGCAACAGATGCCACCGCAGCAGCCGTCTCAGCAGCAGCAGCAGCAGCAGCAGCAGGCGTTGAACCATGGCAACCGTCCGATTCAGCAGATGCAGCAGATGCAGCAGCAGGGGTATGGGTCACCCAGCATGCTCCAACAGCAGCAGGGGCAGCAGCAGGTAGGCCCGTCCCCAGCACCACCGTCGCCCATGCAGCTGCCACCATCACAGCAGCAGGAAATGCAGCAGCAGCAGCATCAGCAGCAGGTGCAGCAGGTCCAGCAGCAGCAGCAGATGCAGTACTCGCCTTCTCCATTAAGCAGGCAGCCTTTTCACGCACAGAGCTCACCAATGGGTGCGGTGCCACAGTTGCTGCAGCAGCAGACGCAGATGCAGCAACAACAGATGCAGCAGCAGCAGCAGCAACAGCAGCAGCACCAGCAGCATATGCAGGAGCCGTGCCAGCCGCAGCAGTTCGCACAGCAGCAACTGCAGCCCGCACCTGTTATGCAGAGCCATCCAGACCAGCAACAGAGCCAGTACCACTTCCAGCAGCAGCAGTACCAGCAGCAGCAGCAGCAGCAGCAGCAGCAGCAAGAGAGGTCCACTATGCCTCCTCCTGCAAACTCCGCTCTTCCACGCTCCCAGTCAGCCTCTCTTCTCAACCATCCCTCGTACCTCTCCTCCTCCCTCCACAAATCCGAGTCTGTGTGCGACAGCTCCTACACCTACACTCTCAACCCCCCTCACTCCCACCACCAGCACAGCCAGCAACCTGGGGACCCTCTTGCTACGTCCGCTGCTGCTGCTGCTGCTGCTGCTGCTCCCCTCTCTTCTGCTGCTGCTGCTGCTGCAGGTGCTGCAGGTTCTGCCCCCCTCGGGTCCGTTCCTCTCTCCTCCTCTGCCTGCTTCGCTACAGCTGGCCCCGTTACAAGCAGTGAGCTCCCTCGCTGTGGCAGCACCTCTGTCGCTCCCATGTCAGCAGCTCCCCGCCCTCCTCTCCCTCCTCCTCCTGCTCCTGCTCCTGCTGCTACGACTTCTCTTCCTCCTGCTGCTGCTGCTGGGTCTAAGTTTTACTGGCAGAGGAATGACGCACAGGGGCAAGGGGAACCCCATCAAGCCCAGATATCAGCTGCAGGAGGCGCACAAAATGCTGCTGGCTCTCCGCAGCCGCTCTCTGCTGCCCCTGCTGCCGCTGCTGCCGCCGCTCCTGCTGCCGCCACTGCTGCTCCTGGTTCTCCTGCGTCTCTTCCTCCTCCTCCTATTGCTTCTGCAGCGGTTGGTGTGGGCAATGTTCCGTACCACTCTGGCCCCTACTCTGGTGCTCCTACCCCCTATCCCATTGCTCCTGTCCCTCCTCCTCCTACCGCTGCTGCTCTTGCTCCTGCCTCTCCTGCTACTCGTGCTACTCCTGCCTCGCCTGCCTCTCCTGCCTCTCCCGCTCCGCCTTTCTCAGCTATGTCAAATGCGCCCCCGGCCTGCACCCCCCCAACTCTTCCCCGTCCCAGCCACTTCCTCCTCTCCCCCGCGCCTCATCCCCAAGCTGACGTGGACTACATGATGGTGGGGGGCGCGGAGATGGTGGGTGCCACGTGGACGGACGCGGGGCTTGCTACTGTTCATGATCTAGAGTTACAGGAACTAGAGGTGTTGGAATGGCTGCCGGACAGTGATGGGGGCATGGGGGGAATGGAGGGTATGGATGGCATGGGGGGCATGGGGGAAGATGACTTCTTCTCCCCCATGGGGATGGGGGGGATGGGGGGTATGGGCGGAATGGGAGGGATTGGGGGAATGGGGGGGATGGGGGGGATGGGGGGTATGGGCGGAATGGGAGGGTTGGGGGGGATGGGGGGGATGGGGGGAATGGATGCAAGGGATGCAGGAGGGTTTGTGGAGGGTGGAGGGAAGGGTGCCATGGCTGTTGATTGTGAGAACGGAGGGGGGAAGCATATGACTGGGCACCAGGGGGAGAAGGATGGAAGAGGGGGAGTGGGTGGAGGGGGTGGGGGGGAGATAGGGAAGAGGGACGAATCACAGTGGAACGCTGGTGGGGACGGGGATGGACATGGTGATGGGGATGGCGATGCGTTTGTGTGCGCAGTGGGGATGAGGGGGGGCGGTGAGATGGAAGGAGGGGAGGGTACGGGAAGCAAGGTGGTGGTGTGTAAGTCAGGGAGCATGCTGCTGAGTGCTCCAGCTTCAGCATCTATACTCGAGGCTTGTGCTGCGCCTGCCGATTCAACGCATGTTGGATCCACTGCGGTTACTCGTACGGGCGTTACAGCAGAGCCTGTTGCTACAGTCACGGCTGATGGACCGCTGAAGGAATACTGCCGAGGAGAGGCAGAGCAGGAAGGGACAGCGACAGCCGATGCTGCGGCTCCTGCTGCTGCTGCCGCTGCTGCTGCTGCTGCTGCTTCTCCTGAGGCTCTTGGTGCTGTTCCTGCTGCTGTCTCTCCTGCACCTGCCGCTGCCCCTCCTCCCGTCTTTGCCGAAACAGTAGATACCGGGGCAGCAGTTCCCACCGCCACTGCTGCTCCTGCTGATCCGTCCACCTCCCTGCATGCCGCGAGTGCTGGCGATGGTGCAGGAGAGGGTAGCGCCGGTGGCAACAGCAGGGGTGGTGGCAACGGCAACGGCAACGGCAATGGTGGCGGCAGTGGCAGTGGTAGTGGTGGCAGGAATGGTGGTGGTGGGGGGGGGGAGGAAGGGGGAAGGACGAGGAGGAGATGGCCCATCTCCAATGCACAGAGGACGTGGTGCAGCTGTGGTGTCCCATGAACGAATGAAACAGGCAAACGAAACTCCTAATTCTGAGGACTACGGGGCAAGGGGGCGAGGTGGCTCGTGGGGTCATGCTGGCTTGCTGGCCGGCTTGTGGGCTTGTGACCTTGCAGCTCCTTGCTGCACCTTGCTGCCTTGCCTCGCCGTGCCTGGCCCGGGTTTCTACTGTTTCAGCTGCTGCATCCAAGAAGCTTCTCCTTAACGGGGACACAAGTCTATACTGCATACAACTGACAACGGGCACACTGGAGCCGCTGCTGCTGCTGCGGCTGCTGCAGCTGCGTTGGTGCGTAGTGGCGTCTGCGGCGAGGGGAGCCCAGGGGGATTGGGGAGGAAATAGGGGGGAGGGGGGAAGGGGTGATAAGGGGAGGTAGGGGTGAGCAGGTGAGCAACCCCCAGCATCAGTTTCAGTCATGTGGTTGCATTCTGCGTTGTGGCTGTGGTGGTGGCAATGGCGGTTGGGCTGGTTGCAGTGGTGGCAGTGGCGCCTATGTATGCTAATGCTAATTTCACTAATCTGTCGTCGTCGGTGGCAGAGCAACCCCAGGTTGCCCTGGCCTTCATTTCCTGTCTGTCATTTCTTTCTATCTTGCTTTTTAAACCTTTGGGTGGGAGGTGGGAAGGGGATGTGGAGGGGGCGGAAAGGGAAAGGCGGGAGGTCCTGTGTTGTGTCTGATTGGGCGCAAGGAGGACGGGTGGTGCATGTTGTTGTGGCCCATAGAGCTATGTTTGAACTTTGATACTTCGGACTCTCAGCCTGAGTTTGATGGCCGATCCGTCAGATGCACCATGAGTTGATGTTTCTCCTCTCTTTCCTCCTGCCGTGTGTTTTATTTGGGGTTGGGTGGTGGTGGGTAGCTGACTTGGACTGAGCCTTTTGATGTGGTTTCCTTAAGTTGGCGCTGACTCTTTTGGGTTTTGGATAAATAATTATTGGATTTCTGGTGTGTTGCTATTCTTGTTTCAGTAGATTGCTGATCCTTAGCGAATTTGGGTGTAGTAAACCCTGTGCTGCCAAGCGTAGACACACATCATGAATATGAATCAGGGGTCTGTAACGTCCGGTTACCCTATCTCTTTCGCAAACACCTTCGTTTTTCGGCCTCCCTTTTCCCCAACGACAGCACCTCTTACTTTATTGTTGTCATTTCGATTACAGTAGCCAACAACAAATCGCCAGGCTAGAGCGGAGTGGAATAGCTCGTTAGTATTCATCGCATCTGGATTCTAGAATCTAGAGCACACCGGATCGCGGGTCCAGCCATTTTCGGCTCGCTCGCCCGCTCTGCGCGTCGTTCGCCCCCAGATCCACTCGATCCAGCCATTGTTTGGAAGATTAGAGACCGGCTTTCTCAATCGCGTTCGCCGATCCCTGCTGCGATTGCGTGAAGCTCGTTCTTCCTTCCCGTGTTTTCCCAGACTCGGTTCTCCTGAGCTCCCGTCACCCTTGTTGCGGAGCAGAGTGCAGCGAAGCTTTTCGGTTACGCGACACGTTAACAGTTGCTGGTGGTCTAGCCATCCTGTCGATTCTGAAGCTCTGAGCCAAGTCGTCCCCGCTATTGACCTCCTCGAGATCATTCCTGTCGGGCTGAAGCCATCCTGATCATATCCAGAATCCTACACTTACAAGGCGGGAGGATTCTACGTTATAACCGAATTCGGATCCGATATAAGGCGGCATTCGATGAGCTACACCATATCCCAGCATGCGTACATCAAGGCGACGCTGCACTCGATCAAATTCCCCTATGCGCCGGTCCTCGGCGCCCTGATAGGCAAGGTGCGGGGCGGCGGCAACACCGGCGGAGGAACGACAGATACGGGGGATGCTGCGGGGAGCGGGGGGAGCGCGGGGAGCGCGGGGAAGGCGGAGGTGGAGGTAGAGGATGCGGTGCCTCTATTCCATGGCTGCCTGCTGCTCCCCATGCTAGAGCTAGCGCTCATGCAGGTAAGGGGGAGGGAACTGGCGCTCATGCAGGTAAGGGGGAACGGCCGGATGCAGCGGACGAGATTGACTCAAAAGTCACCTGATGCAGGGTCGAGATTGTCTGAGAATTCACCTGAGGGTCAATCGGGGCTGGCGAGGATCGACGGGCAGAGTCGTTTGGGAGGATGGGATAGAGAATGGGTGTGGGTGGTGGGAGCGAGAGCGCAGGGTGTCTATTTTTTGAGTCGCCTTAAAAATGGGTGTGGGTGGTGGATACGAGAGCGCGAGGTTGGGGGGTGAGGGGATTGGGATGGGAATGGGATTGGGATGGGGATGGGGTGGGAATGGGGTGGGAATCGGGCGTGCATTTGATTCCACCTTTTCGACTGTGCGTTCCGTGGTACATGTGCGTATGCTTATGCATGCGCATGTGCAACCGTGCACATGTCCTCAACCATGCGTGGGGAGTCTATTTTTGAGGCGCCTCAAAAATAGACTCCTTGTGCAACCGTGCACATGCCATGTACGTGCCCTTGACCAACCATTCATAAACGACGACAAGTAGAGGAATACGCATCATTTCGCGGCATGGCCTGCCCGTGGCCGCACCCACCCAACCAACCAACCAACCAACCAATCAACTAACCAACACACGATCACCAGGTGGAGGAGTACGCGTCATCTCGCGGCATGGCGGTGGTGGGGCTGTACGCCGCCAACGAGCGTGTGGACGCGGTGGAGCTGGCTGCGGGCACCAGACGCGTGGGAGACTGCATCGCCAAGCACTGCAAGGACGCGTGCTGCCTGCTGGTCGGTGCATCTGGGTGCATATGGATGCATATGGGTGCATATGGATGCATATGGGTGCATATGGATGCATATGGGTGCATATGGATGCATATGGGTGCATGTGGGTGCACGTGGGTTGGAGTGCCAGTGGAGAGGTCATGTTGTCCATGTTGGATTCCTTTCGTCTTCCTTTTGCACGCCTCTCATTTTGCTTTCCTTCCACCTTCCTCTCGACTCCCCTCCCCCTGTTTGCCTGCCCTCAAAGCTCTCTCCTTGTCCTCCTGTTTCCCCACCCTTTTTCCTCGTACTCCTGTCTTCCGTGTCTCCACTACCCGCCTGTCATTCGCCATGTCTCTCACCCCGTGCGCCCAGCTGGACCCTAAGCTGATGCAGCAGCTGCTGGGGACAGGCGCGGGGGCAGCAGCAAAGGGGAAGGAAGGCGGGCAAGGGGGAGGGGCAGGAGAGGCGGACTCGGACTCTGCAGCACCTGTGGAGGCACATCACGCATTTAAGGTAGATCAGCACGTGTGGGGCATGTGTGGTCCTTGGGGTTACAGCGCACATGGTAGATCACTCAAACTGTGGGTTACAGCGCACATGGTACCCCTTCCCCGACCCCCCCAACCCCCTCCCCGTGCTCGTCTCCTCTCATCAACCCCTGCTGTGCACGTGGGTCCCGTGTATGGCGAATTCGACCTGCACCATCTCAGGTGTATTTTGAGTCGACTCAAAATGCACCTCATGTTCCCTATTTATCTCCATTCCTCCCCCTCCCCCCCTCCTTCCCTCCCGCCTCGCCTCATCCCCAGTTGTACACGTAACTCGTGGGACCCAACCTGTGTATGAGTGATTCCAATCAAGCCTTATTCGATGGACTCTTCTCCCCATCCCTCCCCTCTTCCCCCACCCCCCACCCCCCACTCCCCACTCCCCACTCCCCCTCTTCCTTTCCCCCTCGTCGCCCCCAGTTGTACACGTGGGACTCAGCCCGCGTGTGGCGATTCCAGAAGCCAGAGGCGGCAGGCGGAAGCACGGGAGCAGCCTCAATGCGTGTGCGGCCGGCGACCGTGGCCGGCATCCTTCGGAGCTATCTGGAGGAGGGGCGGCAGTGGCGGCTATGCGACTTTGAGGAGCACCTGGAAGATGTGTCCAGGTGCGTGGTTCAGGGTTTTAAGGTTTAGAGGGGGGAGTGGATAGGGGTGTGGGGGGGGAAGTGGAGAGTCAATATGCGTGGGTTTAGAGGGGCTTAGAGGGGGGGGGTGGAGAGGCGGGGAGTGTGTGAGGGGCAGTGGAGAGTCTAGGTGCGTGGGGGAGATGGGAGTGTGTGGGGGAAAGAGGGGTGGAGTGGCAGGGGAGGCAAAGGTTTGCAGTAACTTGCGGTGCAAGCCCTCTGTCGACCGTGCAAGCACTTGGTCCGATCTGGACAGCTAGAAAGGGGTTTTGAAGGAAGTGGCTGAGACATAACGAAGCTACAAAGCCAGGGTGGCATGCAGTCTCTGCAGAGTAGGAGAGTGCGTTTTAAAACCCATTGTTGGCAAGCATGTGGTACAGTTTCAAAACCCATTGTTGGCAAGCATGTGCATTACATGTGTAGCTGGTGTGTTGAGGAAGTGAGTAGGTGTGCGAAATGGCAGAGTTGGTTGGATTCAGATTCTCTGTTTCCCCCTATTTGCTGTGCGCTTCTGTGGAATGCAGGGATTGGCGGAACTATGAAGTGATGGAGTGACGAAGGTGTTTTGCAGTGGAAATATACTGGACTATAGTAGGCCCACGTTTTTTGGGTATCTTCTATTCAACCAGTCTAAGGGGCATGTATAGCATGCGGCAGGCATGACAATGTGACCAAGGATTGTCTCATCCATTCCCTGGTAATTTTTTTGGCCATGCAATCTTTTAGAAGCCGTAATATTGAAGCTTATATACCTCGGGTTGTATCCTTCATTCTGTTTGAGTTACAGGTGGTGCTCTAATTCTAGCTTGTAAAGCTTGCTATGCGTCGATATTAGCCGCTGATGCCCATCCTTCCATGTCAACTATTGTGAAATCGCCTGAAAGCCTTCTCCTCATGCCTGCTATAATTAAGATACATGGTGTGCAATTTGGGAGCGCGTACCGTACGCCTTCAGTAGAATGCGGAACACCTCCTCATGCCTGCTATATACAGTAACGAACTGCCCCCTCGAGTCGGGGAACAACGTGGACATGATCCGCTTTCCCTCGATGTTTCATCGCCACCCCACCCTTGTCTGTCCTCCTCTCCCTCCCAGTCCCAGCCTCCCTCCCAGCCCCAGCCACGACCTCAACTCTCTCCCTCTCTCCTCTTCACAGTACACGCTTTTCCCCTTCCCTTCGCACCGCTTCGCCGCATTTCCCGGCTGTCCGCGCCACCTCGGCCCGCATCTCACGGGTTGATCTATAAGCCAATTGCGATCGTTGCTGCTGCGGTCGCGACTGTCGGGCAGAACAGGGAGCAGCTGCAGGGTGCTCTCGACTCGGGTGTGCGCGACTGTTCTCTTGCGCTGTTTTGCCCAGCGCGTCTTGGCAGTAGCAGCAGCAGCAGCAGTGGGGAAAGCAGTACTGTGACAGGGACGGATAAGGTAGCGTGAAGTGCACCAGCAGCGGAAGCAGCAGCGGAAGCAGTAGCGGAACAGGAGCAGGATCTGCTGCGGCAGAAGCCGAAGCAGCAGCAGCAGCAGCAGCAGCAGCAGCGTCGGCAAGCTCTGTGGTCTCCCCGCTCCCTGTCTCGAAGGCTGCAGCGATGTCAGGCGCGAGCGCCGCTCCCTCTCGAGTGTTCTCGTACATCTTCAGCGGAAAGAGATCGTACGATTCCGCCGCCTCGTCTCCTTCTCCCCGCTCTTTCCCTGTTCCTGTCCCGCCCGTGCTACTATATCTTGACTTGTTCCTTCGATCCTTTAAGTTGCCTCCCCTCTTTTCCCCTTGAAATGACGACATCTAGTTACCTTGCTTTCCTTCCCTTTTTCCGTGTGTATGCGTGTGTGTGTGTGTATGCGTGCGTGGGCATGTGTGCGCATGGGTGAGTGCAGGCATGTGTTTGGCGGCCTATTCGTCGTGGGCCTGCTCTCCTATGTTCCCTGGTACTATATGACAGCAGGTATGGAGATAGACTCGCATCAGCCGCACATGCATGCATACATTCGCGTGCATACATATGCATGCAGACATTGGTCTCGCATGCAGGCATTCACACGCTTAAATAGTTTGAGCCGGTCGTTCTTTCCTTCGCTACCCCACCCCCCCCCACCTCACCACGTCTGCACCCCTTCCCACCCCTTCCCATCCTTCCCGTCCCCTCCTATCTCCCTCTCACCCATCTAGACCTGAAACTTATCACCAACCAGTTTCTCCTCCCATCCCCATTCTCCAGGCAAGAAGCAGCTGTCCCATTCGGACTACATGGCAATCCAGGAGAAAGAGAGGATGAGGAAGCAACGCCTCTCCACCACCCCTCTCCCGGATGCTCCTGCTGCTGCACCATCCCCAACCTCCCCCTCATGAAACGCCTGCACTGGTGATAAGATGTAGGAATCTATAGCTTGCTTCTCCTTGACCGTACTGGATCGCCCGTATCGGCATTTGGATGAATAGGATCGATGTGCGCTACACCTGCTCTGCTGCCTAGACGGCCAATTGATGGTATAACGGGGTGGGTGATCCTACTAGATATCGCTGATACAATATCCTTACTCGCGAAACCCATTGTAAGAAATCTTACTCAGCCCAGAGCTACCTTTCAGGCGTTGTTAGAAAGGCGAGGAGAAGCACCCTGCTACTGGGTAATGCAACCACTGCCTGCTCCAGTTGTCACCTGAACTTCACCATTCGTGGTACCATATTTTCATCTCACCTGTGCAATCATCTTGACATTCTATATTTTCTCTTAGCTTGTTCCTTTGTCCATCCTAGATCAACCAGAGAAGTGGTGATCATGCAGTGGCAACCAAGAGAAGTGCTTGACTTGACACCAACTCGACCTAGTGCTTTCCACCAAGCTCCAGAAGTGCTTGACACTGCCCACATGCAGGGGCAGTCAGCAAGCTAAGAACGGGTTTGGATTAACTAGACTGCACCAGAAGCAGCCGGCGCAGCGGCAGCATCAGGTGCGCTTGGCACAACAGGGGCAGTGCTCCCTGCAGCAGCATCAGGAGCAGCAGCAGCAGCAGCAGCAGCAGCAGCACCACCACCACCACCACCACCACCAACAGCAGCAGCACTGCCAGCCGCATCACCAGCAGCAGCAGCAGTGCCAGTGGCGGCATAGTAACCACGACCGTGGCCACGGCCACGCCCCCTGCTCCTCCCCCTCCCACGACCAAACCTACCACCCTGCTCCTGCCCCTGCAGCTGCTGATGGTCCTGATCATTCCCAGAAGGGGGTGCTCCAGCCACAATACCTCCTTGCCCCTCATGCTGCACTGAACTCCCCTCACCACCCCCCTCACCACCACCAGCACCAGGGACACCCATGCCACCTGCACCAGCAGCAGCAGCAGCAGCAGCATCTCCTGTATGCATCCCTGCTCCATCTCTCCCCCCACGGCCCCTGTACCCATACCCCCTGCCCCGGCCGCGCCCTCTGCCCCTCCCCCTGCCCCTGCCCCTGCCAGACTGAGCAGAAGCATCTTCCGCCCCTGCTGCAGCAGCATCAGGCGCCTCTAAGCCATGGGGGGTATACTGGGCGTCTGTCTGTTGTGAAGGCACAGCTCCTTCTGCTGTTGCTGCTGCTCCAGGCGCCGCCCCCACTGTTCCCATCGCAACCCCTCTCCCACGACCCCTTCCTCTGCCACCACGGCCGCGGCCCCGACCCCTTCGCCCCACTCTCTCTGGTGAAACGAGCGAGGAACAAAACCGAATGCAAGTGCATCCCCCCAAGCTCACCCAGACAACACACAAGCATGCACGGACGCACGGACGCACACGCATGCAGATGCGCACACAAGCACATGCGCATGGCCAGGGTGTGAGGAATGCAGGCACAGAAAAGAGAGAAGCGGCGGGAGATTAGAAGCTGGAATTGAATTCCCTGACTGAACGAGAAGGTGGTCACGGATTGGCGTAGACAGGGCGAACCAGGAGGCGAGGTCGGGAAGGGGGTTGTGAGGCGTCTCAAAATTAGACGTATATCACTGGCAGAGAAGGCGGTCATGGCAGGGAGAACCAGGAGGCGAGGTGGGGAAGGGAGCTGGAAGGAAAAGCAAACGCAGCGAAGGGAATGAAGATATGCAGTGCGAGGAGAGTGGGGGGGGGGGGGGGGGGGGAGGGGGGAGACGAGGGAGGAGAAGGGAGGAGTGGAGAGGAGAGGGGAGGAGCGGAGGCAAGGAGAGGAGTGGCGAGGAGGGGAGAAGAGAGGAGAGGAGAGAAGAGGAGAGGGGAGGAGAGAGGAGAGGAGAGGAGAGGGGAGGAGAGTGCATACCGCCTCCCTCAGCAAAAGTCTCCGGGAGTTCAATCATCTCCTCTGGTGTCAGCGGCGGCTGGTAGCTGCAAGTGTAAAACAGGGCGGGGGGATGGGGGGTAGGGGGTAGCGGGGGTGGGTGGGGGGAGGGGGAGCATGGGAGCGGAGGGACAAGGGGGGTCTATTTTTGAGGCGCCTCAAAAATAGACTCCTCATGCACGGAGCGGAGGGACAAGGGGGGATAAGAAGTTTTCGTCCGGGCCATAAAGCAGCGTGGGGGAAGTGGAAACGGATGGGAGAGAACGGGAGCACGAGCGTAAGGTGGGAGGCGGGGGATGGGGAGCCGGAGGGTTGTGGGCAAAGAGGGGTTGCGGAGAGAAGGGCGGCCAGGACGGACGAGGAAGTGAGGGCCGAAGGGAAGGAGGGAGCGGGGTGGGGATTTGGAGAAGAGAGAAAGGGCGAGGTTTCGGGTAAAGGACATAAGGTGCACGGGGGGTGGGGGGGTTGCTTGTCCAAAGGGGAAAGGAGCGGACATAAGGTGCACAGGCGGTCGGGTAAAGGGGGGAACGGACAGGCAGCAGCAAGCGCGAAGAGGGGGTGGAGTGGGCGTACCCTGTCGCATTGGGGTCAAGGGGCTCGGAGGAAAGGGTGATGCTGATCATGGACACGTGGCGTGTGGTCTCCAGCCTGCCAGGCAAGGGATGTCATGGCATTCAGGGCAAGGGATAAGAAACGGCTGCGATCACACAAGACAACAAGGGCGACAGGACAGTGAGGTGGCGAGAGTGATGGTGGTGACAGTGGCAAGAGACTTGGTTTCGACTGGACAGGTTCTGGTAGCAGCATGGACGCGGAAGGGGCAGGGCGGACACGAGGATGGAGGCACAGACAAACGAACGGCCGTGTGACACGACATAGCAGGAACAAAGGGCGGGGATGGTGCGAGCAGCTAGCTACACCTTGTTTCTCTGTGGAAATAAATGTTTCTGAGCAGTTGCTTCAGCAAATATCTGGTGCCAGCAGCAGCAGCAGCACTCACGGCAAGAGGCCTTCCTCCAGAGGCTCCCAGAGGTCCGTGATGTCAGTGGAGCCTATGGCCGTGCACTGATGCAGCCCGGGGATACGGCGCTGCATGCACCACGGACATGCCAGAAATTTCGTGCCATGTAATCCCCATGCCATGCCATGCCATGCATGTAATCAATCATGGCATGTCAATTCACACCATGAAGTCAATCATGATTAAGTTGCCGCTTCTCGTCAATAATGTTGCACGGATTCATGCTCAATCTATTTACCAGCCCTCGCACACTCCCTTCCTCCCCCTCACACCCCCTTTAACCCCCCCCCAACCCCCCCCTACTCGCCCATTTCCTTCCCCAGCCCAGCATTTCCACATCCGCCCTCCACACGAGTTCCCCCGTCTCAGGTCTCACACTTCCCCCCATGCTCCCCTTACCCGCGCGGACTCCGCCACGAGCACGGCCTTGCTGATTGCGCGCCCCATCGCCTTCACCACCACCTCCTTCTGCCCGCGCTCCTGCGCAACCAGATTGGGGGTTGAGGGGGGGGGGGGGGGGAGGGGGGAGCAGGGGGTGGCGGCGGGAGGAAAACAAGGGGAAAGGATCAGAAGGGACAAACTTGGGGAGGTGGAAAGGCAGGAAGTACGCGGAGCACGGCGTGAACTTGCGGGATTTCTTGGCACAGCAGAATAGAGATTCAAGGTCAACTTGCGACAGCCGACATACGGATTGCCATGTACCCTGAACGCGGCACAACAACGCCCAAAGACGTTCCAAGATTACAGCTACATTGTTCATAATGCTAAAACACAACCGAAAGCAATCGGACAGCGCCAGGGAATCAAAGACCGTCAACCACCATAAAAAACAATCACCGGCCATCACCGGCCATCACCGGCCATCACCGACCTGCAGGAGAGTGGCGGCGTAGGTGACGTAGTTGCGAACCTTCCCCGCGACCGTGATTCGAATCTCATTCTCGCTGATCGGCGCCTCTGTTCGCGGCTTCTCCACGCGGGTGTACTTATCCATGGCGTTCAGGCGCTCTTAAAGACGTGTTAAGGACGGCCGCACCTGTGTGCTTCTGAAATGTTCCTGAAAAGGATATTCGGGGAAAGGATCAAGGTGCGGGATAAGCGATTTCAGTTGCAACTAAGGCGATGGACCAAGGGAAGTGCAGCTTGAATTTGACAGTGCAGCTTGAATTTGACAGGGCAGCTTGAATTTGACCAATATCTGGTGGTTTCCCGTGGCAATCCTTGAAGCAACTCCGAGACCAGCCACACCTGCGCTTCGCGGCTCGAAATACAGTGATTCAAGACGACTCTTTTGGGGACTTAAAACCACCAAATGAATGCAAAAAACGGATTGGGGAATACCTAGCTCAAGAAACGGGTTAAGCGATGGAGACTGCAGCGATGGAATGAGCCGGCCGAGCGGTTAACCAGGGAGCGACGCTGGAGCGCGGTGCGGGGAGTGATTCGATCAAGCGGGCTGCTGGCGACAAGGGGTCAGCGCGTCGATGCGCCGTCAACAAACGAGCTCTGCCGGAAATGCTCGAGGCACGAGTCGCCGCGGAGCGAGGATTCAAAGGAAAGCAAAAGATTGATCCGAGTGTAAAGAACGCGTGGTGGGGTGGAGGAGAACGCAGACAGCGGGTCTTGGCTCTGGAAAATGGTTGTTGATTAGACGGTGGAAGTTTTCCAGGAATCCAACGCACTCGAGAAATGAGATTTTGAGTAGAAGATGGACCGAGGGGGCTAGGCAGGGCGGAGGCGAGAGGGTGAAAGGAAACGCCACCGAGATTAGTGGATGAGGGCGGTGACGTGTTCGCGGTTTGGTCGGAGCCGGACTGGACGCGCCTTCATGATTGGACGAAATGTTGACAGCGTGCCTCGACTGGGACAGACGCCCTTTTAGAAAAAACTCGCTTCTAGTTGCTCGTGGCACACTGTACAGACTCGCTGCTGCCTAAGTATTGGCACCGGAAAACTTATCTCACGTATTCGATAATGAGGTAATCGATATCTAAAACCAGTATTTTCACTCAGTTCTTGGAGACCATTACAATTCGGAGTAAGGAATGAGTTCACAAAAGATCCATTACTCGAATGGACAATTACACATGCAAGAAAGTCTGTCTCTATGTAAGGCCTGCAAGTACCACAGGTAAAGAGACAGAACACACAAACGAAACGTGGCACGCTCCCTTCGCAGGCATTACCCTGTTCAGGTGCGAAGGGTTTTTTCTCAGCCCACTCAACCAGACACAGCGTTCGTGGCATGGCACATGCATCCGTAAGGGATAGCTATGTTGGCCACCTGAGTCACTGCGTCGGAGAGTGGGCACCCCTGGTGCCAGGTGGATCAGTTCAAGAACGAGGGAAGGAGAAAACGAAGATACAGAAAGAACCAGGAAGATCTGAATAGCCAGCACTGGCATCCTTCACCATCTTCAAGGAGGCTGTCTGTCCCATCCAATATCAACCTGCAGTCACCTGAGAACCGTAGTCAGAACTCAGTCTAAAGCAGGCACGGAAGTGGCTGCAAACGCCTCTTACTGCATGATTCAGCTTTAGTTGAGGTTGGCAGAGGAGCCAGAAGACTTGACGTATGTCTCAGGCAGGTAAATCTCCCCACCCTTGTCCTGCTCGCCACTGATGACCTTCCTAGCCAAAAGGAACTCAGCACTCATCTCCTCCATTCCTTTCTGAAAAGGTCCACCACCATTTGAAAGACAAAAATTAAGCACAAGAATCTACAGAAAGCCAACAAGATTTCAAGAACCTTCAGAAACTCACCTGCACAGCTGCATCAACGTTCTCCCCATAGCCGTGCTTAGCAGCATACTTGCGGACGTCCTCAGTAATGCGCATGGAGCAGAACTTAGGCCCACACATGGAGCAGAAATGAGCAAGCTTAGCGCCATCAGCAGGCAGGGTCTCGTCATGAAGGGCCTACAAACAAACAAGAGTCAAACTTTGGTTAGAACCCTACTGCACAAGCAGTGCGTTGACAGAAGACGTTTGCCTTAGAAGAACTATACCTGAGCAGTTGTTGGATCAAGGGACAGGTTAAACTGGTCGCGCCAGCGGAACTCAAAACGGGCCTTGCTCAGGGCATCATCCCATTCCTGAGCATAAGGATGCTGCTTGGCCAAGTCTGCAGCATGTGCCGCTATTTTGTAAGCAATCACTCCTGCCTTCACATCCTCACGGTTGGGCAGCCCAAGATGCTCCTGAAGGGTTAAGGGGAATACACGTAGGGAAAATTAGTTGGACCAAGGCAGCATCACAAAATGATGCTGCCAGTATCACCAGCATCACAGACGAGAAACAGAGCGAGCCGAAGTTACTTTGGGAGTGACGTAGCAGAGAAGTGCCGTCCCAAGGGCGCCAATGGTGGCAGCACCAATGGCTGATGTGATGTGGTCGTAACCAGGGGCAATGTCCGTTGTCAGAGGGCCCAGCGTGTAGAAGGGAGCCTCGTTGCACCAGTCAAGCTGTTTCCTCATGTTCTCAGGAATCTTGTGAAGAGGAACGTGCCCTGGACCCTCATTCATAATCTGCAGTGAAAAGGCAGATTAAAGCCTACTTGAAACTCTTCCCGACAACAATCGACGGAAGCAACGAAGTGGATCACACAGCAGCGTACCTGGACATCCTTCTCCCATGCGCGACGAGTCAGCTCGCCTTGAATGGCCAGCTCAGAGAACTGAGCCATGTCATTGGCGTCACGAATGCAACCAGGCCTGAGGCCATCACCAATAGAGATGGCAATGTCATATTCACGGCAAATGTCAAGAATCTCGTCCCAGTGCTCATAGGCGAAGTTCTCCTTGTGGTAGGTTAGGCACCACTTGGCATGAATAGAGCCACCACGAGAAACGATGCCAGTAAGACGCTCGGCTGTGAGAGGAATGAACCTCAGCAGGACTCCAGCGTGGATTGTGAAGTAGTCCACTCCTTGCTCAGCCTGAAACGGTAAGACATATAGAACTTCAACTTGTCCCTCGCAAAGAAAACAAATTCGGTGAACCCTAAGAACTCAACATCAATTTACCTGCTCAAGGAGCGTCTCACGGAAGATCTCCCAAGTGAGGTCCTCAGCGATTCCGTTCACCTTCTCCAGAGCCTGAAACGAAAGGAGAGGCACTAACCATTAGAGAAACTCCAAAAATGAACGGAGGGATCTGCGTCGCAGCTACATACCTGGTAGATTGGAACAGTCCCAAGGGGAACGGCAGAATTACGCAGGATCCACTCGCGTGTCTCATGAATGTTATCGCCAGTTGACAGGTCCATTACTGTGTCCGCACCCCACAACGTTGACCACTTCAGCTTCTGAACCTCCTCCTCAATGGAGCTCGCGACAGCGGAGTTTCCAATGTTGGCATTGATCTGCATTTAGGAGCACATTGATCAGAATGCGCTGAAAATACACGTACGGCACTAACGTGGATTTAGGCGTAGGCGAACTTGTACCTTCACAAGGAAATTCCGACCCACGATCGTAGGTTCAAGCTCCAGATGACGCTTGTTGGAAGGGATGATGGCCCGCCCGCGAGCAACCTCGGATCGGACGAACTCAGGATCCATGTTCTCCCTTGCCGCACAGTAGAGCATCTCTTCTGTGATGATGCCCTTCTTAGCATAGTGCATCTGTGTGAAGCACTTGTCTCCGCGCTTCTCCCTCCTTGCGATCCAGGAGTCCCTCAGCTTTGGCAGACCTGAAAAAATCAAGAGCAAGCCTCATGAGTTGTCCTGTTTCCTGCACACGCAATCTGTCATCCATTGGTGAAGACACTCACCTGCTTTGCAGTCGACGTTCTGAGGACCGCTGGTGTCGTACACGTCGAACGGAGGCTCCTCGCCTGACAGATGAACCCTCCGAAACGGGACACGCAGGACAGTTCCCGTCTCCTCGTGCACAACTTCCCTGAAACACGGCGGATATGGGGTGGACGACGTTAACGGCGAAAGGAAGGGAAAAGAAGTAAACGTAACGAGACATAGGCAATCCACCGCACGCAGTGGTTAACCTACCTTGATTCCTTGGTGCTTGACGGGAAGCACTCCTCGAAAGAAGGCATGGGAGGGACATCAATATCGCTCTCAAGGCTCGTTATTGGGGGTCTCTCAGGAGCGGCAATCATCCGCACCGTTGGCGCATGATGCTTCAGCACAGGACGCTCAACACCGCCACGCAGCGCAGAGACAGATCCAAGAAACGAGCTCTGTTTCGCTCTGCGAAGAGCGGAATTCTGCAGGCCATTGCGGAAGACCGGAGTCGATGAGAGAGCAACAGCGGCCATTCCGCGAAGTTCCGAGAAAGCAAGGGGAGCTTGCGAAGAGTTCAGCTACAAATCTAAGTAGAGAACTCAATCTCGCTGAGCAATGCTTTGTGCAGCGATGGAATAAAAAATATCCTGGCTGATTGCTGTGGTGGTGGATACCGTGGCCAAACACCACCAGGTCTGATAAGGCCTTTCGCGTCACAAAATCGACTTTTCCGCCCACGGGGTGCCACTGTTGAGGGAGGAGCGGAATCTGTAAGCTGAGGTGGAGGCATGCCAGCATGGCAGCATGACCGACGCTGGGCCATCATTGGCACGGCTGGCTTCGGATCAGACGAAGTGACATGGCCAATGCAGCAGAGCTGTCAATGCACATCATTGGCCTCCACAAACAGGGGGAAGCATGAACCCATAACCTGCTCCGCTTGTGCACACCACAGAAATGTCCCTATCAGCTCAGCTCAAACCATGCAAAATAGGATGCTGGAGGAATGCTAACTCTTGTCACAACTCTAAAAACCTGAAACATAATTACAACATCCAATTCCACAACCATTAGTCATTGCAAAGAGTTTGGCTGGAGTTAGTATATAAATGTCTCTACATTGAGTGCAGGCTAAGGGCTGTGAAGAGACTGACAAACGAGGTTTTACATCATGCACTCATCTAATACTACATATGTACTATGCACAGTACAATACCGAAGGGCATGAGAAGGCAGGGATCAAGGGTTGTGAGTGGATTAGCCATGCTGTGCTGCCGAGAGGGTGCATCATAGTTGATCCCACAGGGCTCCAGCCTCCTTCTGGGCAGCCAGGAAGCGCACATCCTTGGACGACAACTTGGGGTAACAGCTGCCTCCAATGTTCCTCCACACAGACACCACATGGTCGTACCACCCCTCCGACCTCACTTCCTCCTTGTCCCCATAACCGACCCACAGATGTGCCGAGCCATGTGACGGAGCTGACCCTGCTGAGGCATCCTTAGCCTGCCACTCTGCTGCCTGCCGGAGCAGGTCGTCAGCATCGGCAGTGTCAGGCTCGGCAGACTGGTGGCGCACGGCGACGCGCTCGAAGAGAATAAAAACCAGCCCACCGACAATGGCAAAGAGCCAGAGAGACAGCTTGAAGTTGGGATAGGCTGGTGGGGAGGGGTGGTGGAGGGGAAGGCCGGGCAGAAGGGAATAAAAACAGTGAATGTGAGAACGAGTGCATCCAGGAGGCACAACATAGGCTGGGCAGGCTTTGCAAGAAAACAAAAAAAACAGATCGTTATAATTTACTAAGACCTTTACACTGGCAACATTGATACGAGCTGCAGAGGAGCCTTACCACTCAGGTCGACAAGGCCGAAGGCACTGCGAATGGCAGGCGACGGGTAGAAAAGGAAGAGGGAGCAGAAAAGGAACTGCAGCAGGAGCACGACGACGAGCAGAGGGCTCTGGAATAAATGCACTCTGAACCGACCAAAGCTCTGACTGACTGCTGCGGCCAGGAAGACATACTGAGGTGGGGGAAAGGGTTGGGGGGGGTGGTGGTGGGGTGTAGTGCGAAAGGTGGGGGGAGGAGAAGGAAGGTGGTGTTGAATAAGGGTGAAGTTGAAAAGTGTAGAATAAAAGGCAGACTTGTGTGTCTACACATGCACTCACATGCATTCCCCTAACCCCCCTTCCCCCCATCGACGTTCACACATGCTGGTGTATGCATGTGGAGGATGGCTCACCTGGAAGGAGGAGAAGAGGAAGCTTGCAGTGCTGTTGTAGTTGACCTGCGGGTTGAACCCAGCAGTTCCAACAACCGGCTGCACATACCACGCCTGGTGCTCACATGCAGTCGGGGGTGCAGAGTGGACAGGGGAGAGTGAAGACACGTTGAGACGTGGCTAGAAGGCGTGGTAGAGAGGAGGTATGAGGACATGACTGGAGGGCACGTAAGAAGCAAGGGCGAGGAAGAAATGTATGCATGGATCAGTTGGTCTAGAGCAACGTGGTGGCCAGGACCATGCACGACCAAGTGAGCTACCACCCCATCCCTCCACAAGTTACTCCAACCACCAACCCATTCCGTCCTCCCTTCCCCCACAAACAACCACCGACCCCTCATCCCAGCCTGACACTCCACCCCCTCCCACCCCCTCCCACCCCCTCTCACCTCCTCTCACCTCCTCTCACCATCCCAGTCTGAACTATCCACCCCCCATCTCATCCCTTCCCACCCAACCCCACACCGTCCCACCCCCCATCTGAGCCCGCACTTGTGAGGCGGCGATGAGGGCGACCTGGCCATAGATGCGCACGAGCATGGAGAGCGAGAAGAGGTTGCTCTCGGGCAGAGGATCTCCAGTGTCCAGGTGTACGCCCTTCCCACCCTATCCCACCCCGTCCCACTGCTTCCCACCCCTTCCCACCCGCCCCAGGCGCACCTGTGAGTGCAGGAACGCGCTGGCGAGCACTTGGAAGGCGGCGATGAGGGCGACCTGGCCGTAGATGCCCACAAGCATGGAGAGCGAGAAGAGGTTGCTCTCAGGCAGCCCGCGGGACAGTGACTTGCGCGGGGAGAGCGTGGGGATCAGCAGGATCATGGGGAAGACTAGCCCGAGGTCTGCAGGGGGGAGAGCGAGGGGTGGTAGAGAGAGAGAGACAGGGGGGAGCGGAGGCGAGGGGAGGGGAGGGGAGCGGGGAAGGAGAGAAGGGGTGGGTGTAGGGGGTTGGAGAGTAGACCATGTGTGGTTGGGAGGAGAGGGAGGCAGAGGAGGTGGTAGAGAGGAGGGAAGGGGAGTTGGAGGGATAGAAGAGTACAGGAAAGCGGCGGAAGAATGCTCAGTGAAAGCATAAAAAAGCACATCCACATAATGGCTTGACACCCCGTTGGCGTTGCACAAGTGCACGAGAGCACAAGAGCACTAGAGCACTAGAGCATGACTGCACTATTGCACAAGAGCTCTAGTGCACGGCCTGTACCTGCCCAGATGTACTCCTTGTCAGTGAGCTCGAGCTCGAGCGGGTAGAGCACGGCGATGGACATGGTCTGCACGACCGCGTAGAACATCATGTACTTGAACATGCTCGTTGCCGTCACCAGTGCACACCGCCCGTCACGCAGCAGCTGAGGGGATGGGGAGGAGGCGGTGGGGAGAGGGAGGGGAAAGGGAGCAGGCAGGAGGGAAGACAGTGAGGGGAGAGAGAGAGAGAGAAGGAGCATTCAAGGAGATGAGGGGAAGAGCGAGAGAGAGCAAGAGGTATTCGGGAGAGGAGGTTTATTAAGGCAGGTAAAGCAGCAACAGAATGAAGGGAGACGCACCGGGACGAGCGCCCCGATGTGGGCCACGTGGGTGGAGAACGGTGCCGCAATGCTGGGAGCAGCCGCCGCTGCATCTGACGCCGCTGCTGCTGACCGAGCCACCGCTGTTGACGACCTGCGACCGCCTCTAATCGATGCTGATGATGAGGAGGCTCCGTTGACATTGCGTGAGGAGGACGGGGGGGAGGTTTGCAAGGGGGGGAGGTCGGCGAGGGCGGAGTGGCGCTTGGATGCGATGCTGAGGCCCACGTCCGCTGCTTTGAGCGCTGCACTGTCATTGGCGCCGTCGCCAGTCCTGGGGGGTGGTTGAAGGGGACATGCGAGGGGAGGGGAGCAGTGAGGAAAAGCAGGGGCCGTGGGAGGTGACGAAAGGCGACAATGCACGCGGCGAGATGCGCCAAGCAGCTGTGCATCGACACATGAAACAATCATGTCATATGCTTACACCCTTCGCCCCCCCCCCCACCCCATCCCCAACCCAATCCCCTTCCCTTCCCCCTCCACACTTTTTCCACTCTCCCCTCCAAGAGTCCACCCCCGACCTTTACCTCCACGCCAGCCTTCCGTTTTGACCAGTCCCATGTGCCATCCCACCCACCATGCCGCCCTGCATCCCACCATTCCAGCATTGCAGCCGCCAGTGGTAACCGCCACGGTGCAACCAACCGTGACTCACATGGCAACGGAGTACCCCAGGTCCCTGAGAGCAATCATGAGGTCCTGCTTGTTGCTGGGGGACATGCGCGCAAACACCCCTGCCCGGGAGAGCACAGCCTCCAGTGGCGTGACAGCAGTTGAGGCAGGCCCGAGCACAAGTGCAGACGAGGAGGAGGAGGAGGAGGAGGAGAGGAGGGAAGGTCGGCGGGATTTGCGGAAGGAGGTGAGGTGGTCGTGGTGGGCTTTAAGTGCGGCGAATGCTCGGCCTGTTACTACGAGATCTGCTCCCCTGAAGGAGGGTTCCAGCTGGGAAAGGGTATTGATAGGAGGTTTGGGGGCGGATGAGAGGAGAGAGGGGGGAAGCCTGTCAGGTCTGCAAACAATGCACGGCAAAATTGCGACATGTGTTTACTGTGTAAGCATTGCACAGCGAACTTCGAACCTGCGATGGCGACATACAGTGTTTTCGAGGTGCCTCAATCCGGCCCTTACCTGTGGAGCAGCCTTGGAGTCACCAGCGGAGGCCTTGAGCAGCACAGAGGCGGCTCCTGCTGGTCCTGCCCCGAGCACATCGTCGAGAGGCACACTCCGGTGCGTTACCACATCTTGTAACACGCACCCCGTGCCGCATACGCCTCCTCCTCCTCCTCCACCACCAGCAGCAGCGCCAGGGGTTGCCTGGGTGTCGTCAGCTGTGTCGATGAGGTAGGGGTGGCGCGTGGTTTGCAGGAGGTATGGACCGCAGTGGCTGCAGGGACAAGGGGAAAGGGGGGAGGGGGAGGGGGGAAGAAGAGAAAAGGTTTGAGAGAAGTTGGGGGGAAGGGGAACATGAGAAGTTTGGGCGGGCATGAGGCACAAGCGGCAGGTTAACCAGGGGAAAGCGCAAGGGCCTTGAGGGATCACGCGCGAGAGTGGGCGTGAGAGTGGGCGTGAGAGTGGGCGTGAGAGTGGGCATGAGAGTGGGCGTGAGAGTGGGCGTGAGAGTGGGCGTGAGAGTGGGCGTGAGAGTGGGCGTGAGAGTGCATACCGGCTGACAGCGAGTGCAGTGAGGGGGTTGTCCCCCGTAACCATGAGGCATCTGAGGCCCGCCGCAGCAAGGCAGTGCAGCACGGGGGTGGTCTCAGGCTTGATGGGGTTCTCCAGCACCAGGAACCCGCAGAACACCAGCTCCCGCTCCAGCTCGCTGCGACTCTCCTCTGTCACCTGGTGATACATGTGTGTGTGTGTGTTGGGAGGGGCGGGGAGGAGGAGTTGGGGTGGGGGGGTACAGGAGAAACAACTTGTGAGGGGTCTCAAAAATAGCACCAGGAACCCGCAGAGCACCAGCTCCCACTCCAGCTCACTGCGACTCTCCTCTGTCACCTGGAAACGAAAACGTGCGTGTGTGGGGGAGGGGGAGGAGCAGGGATGAGAGGGTCAGGGCAGAAGAGGGGATGAGTGGGGGGATGGGAGAACGGTAATTCTATTGCTCTTGTATTGCGTAAGTGCCGAGCTGGTGAGCGGAGAGTGGCTGTAACAGCCTCTCACGCCCTGCAGGGTGTGGTGGGAGAGCGGTCGCGAGGCCACAGCCAGCCAGCAATCTACTGCCACTAGGCGTACTGACAGAGCTGCATGGCTTTCTCACCTGCTGCAGGGAGAGGTGCGAGAGCGGTCGCGATGCCACAGCCAGAAAGAACTCTACTGCCACTAGGCGTATCGTATCGAGCTGCATGGCTCTCACGAGCTCTCACCTGCTGCAGGGAGAGGTGGGAGAGCGACCGCGATGCGACTGCCAGCACTCTGCTGCCACTCAGCGTGAGCGCCTTGAGCTGACCCTCGAAGTCAGCAGGGAGTGATGCAGGCGTGCACAGGGGACGGATGCTGCCACGTGTGAGAACAGAGTTGGTTGGTAGAGAGTGGTATGCAGAACGGGGATGGCAAGTAAGGGCAAATTATTGACCACACTGATGATGAGATTAGGGTAAAGGGTGATAAGGCCTTTGCCAGAGGTTTTGGTGAGATGCGAGAATAGTTCCAGAGAGGGTAAGGAGGGGAGAGGAGAGGAGGTGCGGGTTCAGCAAGCACCTGGTTTATGAGACAAAGGCGGACGCAGATACCAGCACACAATAGCATCACAAGCAACGAAGCAATGAACACAGCAACATGCCAGTGCGCACCACCCACCCCCACAACTCTCAAACACCCGATAAACACTCAGCACATCGCATCCCCTACTCCACCACCTCACCTCTCAGGAGCGCCCTTGACCAGCAGAGACATGGGCGCAGCGGCAGCCCCAGCCTTGCCCCCTCCCTGCCCCACGACTGCAGGATGCACCTGCAGAACCGCCACAGCCATGCGCCTGAGATCCGAGTCAAAGTCAAAGCGCCGCAGCACAGCCAGGGCCGGCTGAGAAGAGAACACAAAGGACGCGGGGGAGGCCACGGGGGGGGGTTGGTGCGCGGGGGAGGAGGAGGAGGAGGGAGCGGAGGGATCAGGGGGGGAGGGGGGGAGGAGGAGGAGGTCGACGGTTGGGGGGAGGTCGGGGTGCGACCAGATGGAGTCGATGTCCCAGGCGTTGGTGGAGTGTGGAGCGCTGGTGGTGGTGCTGGTGTCATGCTGGGCGGAGTCAGGACGAGGGAGGAACTGCCAGCCTGGGGGTTAAAGGAGAGGAGGAGAGGGAGAGGGAGAGGGGAGTGGGAGACGAGAGACAAGAGGGAGAGGGTGTGAGGTCTCCGGAATGGGAATTTGACGGGCAGAAAACATGTGTTACACGCATAGATATGAGTAAGCAGCTGGAGCACTAACTTTAACCCCTAGAAGTTCACTTCCACACGTCCACATCCATTGACCCTCGCGATCCCCTCCTACCATCCCTTCTCCCCCCCCACCCAAAGCTTACCACTCCTCCTGAACATCTGTATCTCGAGTGGGTCCCCCACAAACAGGCACACCGAGCCGTCCTTCATATGGATCACAGCCCCATCCTCGCCCTCCCCATCCTCCTCCTCCACCTCTCCCGCCCCACCATCCCACTGCCCCTCCCCATCACTCCTCGGCCCAGCATGCAGCCGCACCCCCTGCGTTTCCCCAGCAACCACACTGCCACTGCTGCTGCTGCTGCTGCTCCTCAACCTCATCCCCGAATAACCCCACTCCCCACGCACCAACCTACTCCACCACCCCCCCGCTCCCTTCCCCTCTCCATGCACCTCCAACTCGGGAAACGCGTCAGAGGCAGAGGAAGCAGAGGCGGACCGGGAGGGCGCAGGGGTGTGGAGTAGCGACAGGCTGTGACAGGCAGCAAGAGTGTAACAGAGGGATGCAGTGGGCGTGGCTGCGGCTGCGGATGTGTCTGGTGGGGGGGGTGACGCGGGCGTGGGTTTAACCGCGTCGTGGTATAGGTCGAGGAGGTTGGAGCGAAGGGCGGAGAAGGTGGGGGAGGTGGCGGGAGAAGTGGAGGAGACGGGGAGGACTCCTGAGATGGTGAGCCCGTCGCGCGTGAGAGTGCCGGTCTTGTCGAAGCAGAGGAGGTTCACACGACCCGCGTTGATGATGCGGGGGGGGCTGGATGGGTGGGGGACGCAGAAGAAAGAGAGAGACAGGAAGGGGGAGGTAAGGGCGATGAGCAGCGTCAGGATAGGGGCCAGGATGCATACAAAGCAGTTACAACAGGGACGAGCATACGCAAGGAAGAACAAACGACAATAGAGAAAGAACAGCAGGGGGGGAGGAGAACGGGAGTGAGGAGAAAGACAAGGGCAGCACGTACTTGATGCAGAAGATGCCGCATGCTTGGAGGCGAGAGAACGCAGTGGAGAGGCCGATGGAGAGGGCAAGAGGCAGGGCGGGCGGCACGGTGATAGTGAGGATGTTGAGAATGTTCAGCACCAGCTGCCTGCCACTCACCTGCACGCGTCAGACAAGAGAAGGGCGGGGAGCAGGGTGTGGAGGAGAACAAGGGGAGGAGAGGGCAGGGCGGGCAGTTGGCGAGGAGGGGGGAAGGGGTTGCAATGCAGCAAAAAGGGAGCGGACGAGGAAATGATTGGTGAGGCGAAACGGTCGCTGGCAAGGGCCTGGAAATAGAAACCATGGAGCGAACACGGTCTTTGTCGTGCTGGCAGTATCGGTATGCACAGGTGCGCCTGAAGACGAAACCATGCATGCCCCACCCACGCCTTATTGTACTGCAAGTTCTGGTACACACTAAAGTAGGCGCCTCAGAACGAGCCATGCAACACGCAAGCACGCACCTTGTTGTACTGGTAAGCGACGGTGACGGCGGCGGCGATGAGGAAGAAGACAAAGAGGTTGACTATGAAGAGGTAGAGCTTGCGCTCAAAGTCAAACGACGTGGGCTTCGGGTAGATGATCGCGCGCACCAGCTCGCCCTTGGCCGTGGCGTACCCGGTACCCACCACCATGGCTGCCACCGGCATGGGCTGCAGGGAGGGAGATGGATCATGGAGGGGACAGCGGCAGCAGGAAGGAATGCGGACAAGCAGGAAAGATGAGAGCTGTCAGAAGAGGCTTAGGCAAAAGAGAGAGCTGAGCCGTGTGGGAGAAGGTCAGATAAGGGAGGTAGCAGCTATGAAGGGAAATCCGGAGGGAAACACCAACGAGCTGTTCCTCGCCTCACCTGCCCTTTGCTCGTCTTGGCATCCCCATTGGCGAAGTTCCACACACAGGGTGGTGCGTCCGCGCTTGAGGACGAGGAGGAGGGCCAGGCTGGAGGGTTGGTGGGCGGCACTCTGAGCGCCCGGGTCTGCAGCACCTCTGTACCTGACAGCAGGCGGTACTTGGAGTCCGCCTCTGACCCTGGCCGGATCCTGCAATGGGAGCGGGCAGGCAAGCAGGCAGGCAAACAAAGGCGGGGAAACAGAGACGGACAGCAAACACGAAGGAACAGTTTATGACGGGTGCAAAGTCCCAAGCTCTTTTCCAAAGAAACCGACATGTGCACAGCCTGCTAGCTGAACGACGCAATCACAGGTTCCACCTACATCCCCCTCCTCCTCCCCTCCCCCCCCTGAAGCCCCTTGTGTCCCCTCTCCCGCGCCTACTTGTGCGGTTGCGCAGAGAAGTCGAGGGGCAGGGCTGTCTTGAGCACGGGAGCAGACTCCCCAGTGAGCATGGACTCGTTGAGAACACACTGGCCAGCCAGCAGCACCAGGTCGCACGGCAACACCATGCCCGACTCCACCTGAGGAACCACAGGGGCAGGGGGCAACATAGTATATGTCTAATGAGTCACAATGCAGGGGGGGAGGGGAGGTCTTGGGGTGACATGCATGCATGCAGGGGCGTGGTGGTTCGCTCACACCTCAGGGAGATTACCTCCCCTCTCCAGCATGCTCGCGCCCCTTCCTTTTCGCCCTCTTCCCTCCTACCCCCTCCTACTTTTACCCCTGCCCTGCTCTCTCGTCCCGCTCACTCACCTGCACCAGGTCCCCAGGCAGCAGAGCGCTTGCCAGAACCTGCTCCGGCAACAGCCTTGGAGCAGCAGAGGGGTCAGCGGGATCCCGTTGGCCCATTAGCCGCACCACAGAGCAGTCCGTCTCCGCTAGTCGCCTGAGGGCAGCGAGAGAACGGGGGTAACGATAGGATGGACACACAGCAGAGGGGGATGAGGGGGAGGGAGTAAAGGCCGGGGGGGGGGAGCAGAGGCCGGGGGGAGAGAGAGAGAGTGGTACGGGGAGGGTGAGCGAATGGCAGAGGGATTGAGAGTCGCGGAAGGGAGGAAAGGGTGACACGAGGAACTGAAACGTGGGAAGAGAGAGGATAGATAGATAGAGTAACGCGGCTTACTTGATGGCGAGCCTGTTGCGGCGGGTCTGAGCGGCCTCATATACGACGGAGGTGGTGGTGAGGAGGATGATGATGCAGGAGTAGAGGTAGTACTCCTGCTGGAACCACACGGCCACGCTGAACACCTGGAACACAAAGAACGGCTTCAGCATCTCGCCCGCCAGCAGCACCCTGCACGGACGAGGGGTCCCCCCAGCAGCAGGGAGGGAGGCGGGCGTGAGGTCACAGACACGGACGATTAGGGCCGACGCAGGGAGGGCACATGCAATCCGCAGGCAGCACAGATCACGCGTCACGCAGCACACGCCACACAGCACAGCACGCACCAGAAGCTGGGCGCGTGCACGTGCAGGATGTTGGGGCCGTGGGTGAGCAGCCGCCGCTCCCAGTCACTCACGTCTGCGGCATGGCACAGCATGGCACAGCATGGCATGGCATGGCACAGCATGGCATGGCATGGCATGGCACAGCATGGCATGGCATGGCACAGCATGGCATGGCATGGCATGGCACAGCATGGCATGGCATGGCATGGCACAGCATGGCATGGCATGATACCAGGTAGAGAGGAGGACCATTAGCCAGGGCGTGAGGTAGAATGAGAGTATGAGATGGGCAGAGGGTGAAGTCGAAGACGGGAGGGAACACGAGCGCAGCATGATGTATGGTAGAAACGGCAAGGGGCTGGACTAGGAAAGCGGGAAGGAATGGGTGGGGGTGAGGGAGGGGAAGAGGGGTTACGCGTGACGTACGTTGGGATGTGAAGGGTCAGAGGGGAAGGGGAAAGTGGAGAAACGAAAAATGCGTTTGCACTAGTGCATGGGTGTTACCCTCCAACTCGCATGCCTGGCCAGCCCTTACCCTCACCCTCCCCCCGTTCCCCCCCGTTCCCCCCCGTCCCCCCCCTTCCCCCCCGGCGCACGCACCTCCGGGATGGCTTCCCCCCCTGGGCTCCTGCATGGCGCAAGCGGCGCCATACTTATGGAGCGCAGCGGCGGAGGACGCGAGCTGGAAGCGGTGGCGCTTCCACACCAGCGGCGTGCTGCGGAGCTCCGCCGCGCGCGTGGCGGACTTGGGCGTGTTGTCGAACAGCCGCGCGGCTGCTGCCGGGTCGAACCAGAACCGCTCGCTGCGCCACAGGAAGGTTCTAGGCAGGTCCGCGAGGCGGATATCGCACCCCTGCGGAGAGGGCAGGGGAGCGGGAGCGGAGACGGGGGAAAGCGAGGGGTGCGTGGCGGAAAAAACACGCATACGGCGGAAGATTGTTGGTGCGGAGACTTCGTAGACGAGAGAGAGATGGAGGAAGCACGCGCAGATTGGGAGATGGAATCAAGTCCAATGCCGAGGTAGGTTGGCAATGGCAACACACGGCGACTCCAACGCCAAGGTAGAGTAGAGCACCCGGCCTAGTTGGTAGAGTAAATAATGTCAAGTCCTATAAAGGACCAACCAAAAGAGCAGCACCCCTCTCTCTGGATGGTCATACCCTGCCTACCGGTAGCCTGGTGCTGGTGCGCGCTGCAGCGACGTCCACCCACCCGCGGGCAGGAGCCCAGGGGTCGACGGACTGCAGCGGCGCGACGGTCAGGATACCATCGAGGCTCTCCACCAGTACATAGTCCGCGGAAACGTCGCCGGGGGGAACGCTGGTGGAGAAAAGAGGAAAGAGCAAGGAATGAGAATACAGAGGCGACGGTCAGGATGCAGTCGAGGCTGCCCACTAACACGTAGTCCGCGCTAACGTCGCCGGGGGGGACGCTGGTCGGAAAAACAGAAACCAAAAAAAGGAGACACAGATCAGACAGTCAGGAGACCATCGAGGGGCTCCACCTGCACGCAGTCCGCGGTAGCGTCGCCGGGGGGAACGCTGGTGGGAGTAAGGAAGAGAGTAGAGGGAAATGACGTACGGACGGACGGGAAAACGGCGAGGAGAAGGGCAATGGATTGTGCGGACGTGGAGAGGGCAATGCCGGATGGACAATAGGGAAAACAGCGAGGAGAAGAATCAAGGGATTGTGAGGAGGGAAAGCTAGTCCACGGTGATGGTGGAGGAACCTGGCACAGACCGGTAGAGATACGTGCAACAGCGTAAAAACGGAAACCGAGATGTTCGGATCGAAAGTTGTCAGCGGGAAACTGAATCTTGACGATGAAGTGAATCGAACCGCTTTATGCCGAAGCGTATCACACCTCAATACGATGCAGTGCGTCTTACCGCTTGAATCGCAGGGAAACGTAGAGAGCAGGGAGCCAGCTGGCTACCAGCGGGACGATGCCGAGAGAAAGCACGGAGAGGACGATAAAGATGAGATCTCCCAGAATGTAACGCTGCCAGCACGACACGGTCTTAATCGACACGATCTGATGCGGGGGAATAGGGAAATAGTGACACAAAGAAGAGTTATAAAGTAGGAAACGGGTCGAGTGGGTGACTAGGAATGCAAAAAGGGCGCTAAAAAAAAGCGGGAAATGCACGACCATGACGCGTAAATCGTATTTGAGAACCTGTAAAGTGGTTAATCTCAGAGCGGAAATCTGTGCCAACCTCGTCTTCGTGATGTCGCTCAGGCGATCCGTACGATGCGTTGTCGTCGTGATTGCTGGGCGCTGCCGGTATTTCCGTTATCATTGAATCTAGCCATCCCGAGTTAGTAGCTTCTAGCGAGTGCGATGGAGCCATGTCGGGTTCAGCCGACCGACCAGAAAATCCCGAAGCGAGATGAAAATGAGGATACACGCAGTGAAAGGTGAGGTGAGGCTGCCGCTAGGAGAGGAAACGCCTACTAGTGTGGAGTCTTCCGGCTACTATTTTCGTAACATACTAGTGTAAGCCAACGTGAGGCGATGCGAATGCCACGAAAACTATTGCGAGGTGAATGGAACGAAAAGAACACAACACCATCAAGTGCTGTCCACCGTACCGAAGGGAGTGCCTGCCTGGTGCTAGACAGGAGCAGCGGAAATGTGAGGCATAACTGTCTCTGTCAGGATAAGTGAATGCGCAGTGCCTAGCAAGCGAGTGAAGTCGAGACAGCAAGGGAAGGAAATCCTCATTCTGTGGGGCTTCGCTAAACTGAGACGAGCGCCGGCCGGCGCACAGTGGAATTGCCGACGGCGAGGCGAGTGACACTGCCCAAGACCCTGGGATCCGAAAGGCGGGAAGAAGGCGGGAGGAGCCAGAGCAGGCGCGGGGGAAGATTCCTGTGCACGCTTGCTGGGGGACAACTCTGACGCTTGCGCGGAAGGGTAGCGGAGTGATTCCCCTCAGTCCCGCCGCTAAGACCTCGGCCGCAGCTCTGCGCTCAGGAACTACACCTGACGTCCAGTCAAGCATCCATTCATTAGATGCCGCGTGTTTATGTACAGGATTAACAATCCGAAATCATGGGCAACGGCTCAATCGACACAGAACCAAAGATCTGCAACAAATACCACTTCTGATACGGAGACCTCCAAACGTGCAGACGGGACGTTCGCATACCTTACACTGTTGCCCGAGGAACGCTAACAAAACAACAATGGTCACCCATATTAGACTGGAAAATGCAAACGAGGTAACCAGACTACCCTATACTGGCCCAATTCGCCAGTGAAAGTTACGTGCTCGACTTTAAAGCAACCGCTTGAGTACAGAACTTGTGTACAGTACCAGATTTCGTCACCCTGAAAAGTGGGCGGGCGGGAGCCAGGGGCTCGCCCTAGGAGATTCTCAAGAACATCAATAGTTGGCAGGACAATACTGCTTCTGCTGTACATATGGTGGGGTTCGACATGATCTCTCACGGTTTAATGGGGGAAAAAATATATAAACCGCCTTGAAACAGGGAAAGCCGTGCTTCACAGCACTAGATGTCCTGGATTCGATATGTACTCTTCGGACCCGCCCTAAACATTTCATATCTGCCCGTTGACCGCCCCAACCCACAACACCGCAACTCACGCATGTCGAAATGAGGATCAGGTGAAAATACATTAAACCTGGGGCCAACATCGATTTCCCTCACATTATGCCTGGAAACCTATTCAGGTAGGCTCACTTTTGTAATCTAGGCTAGAGTACAGAAGAAATTTGTCTCGAAATGTTGTGGAGGTTAGAACCCCTCGGGGTTACATCCCGCCCTTGACGCACGTTGGGGAAAAATCTTGCCAGCGTGCGTCAGCAACAGATTCGGCAGGGGGATGGGCTGGATTCAAATCTTCCCGCGTTCCCCTCCCAAAGAATTTTCCGCACAAACACATGGTAGTCGTCGCATCTGAGTTCCGCCCGTTAAAGTCCGTTTTCGGCGATATCGTGCTCGTCAGTGTCCATTTCCGGCAAAAAAAATCCGCTAAAACTTAGACTTTCAACCCGTTCTCAAGCCGATTGTTTTCCGGTAACCGACGGGTTCGGAGAAAACCGAATCCATTTAAAGAGTGTTTCGCGTACACGAAGCCCGTGAAAAGGTACCAAATAATCTGAAATGTACCCATAAAGAATAATTGATGCTTCAAATGAATCAGGGGCATAAGCTTCACCCGCCCCTCGCTGAAATGAATCCAGGCCACCCCTCCAGGTGAACCTGCTGCTGACGCAATGTGGAAAAGGTCATGCGCCACTTGCGTCAAGGGCGGGACGTAACCCCGAGCGGTTCTAACTGCCACAACATTTAGAGACAAATTTCAGCTATACTCTAGCCTAGATTACAAAAGTGAGCCTACCTGAATATTGTTCCGGGCATAGTGTGAGGGAAATCGAAGTTGGCCCATTCAACCTGCATTCACTGCAACCACAAATTCCGCAAGGACCCTGATAGGATGCTACTCGATAACCAAATTCTTCGACTTGTAAGTACAACAACTAGCCCAATAGGAGGCAAATAAGATATAACCCATATTGCAAATGCCAACAAACCTACCAATCGCATCAGTCAGTATTGCAACTTATTTAACATTTCAAGTTAATAAGGTGCATTGGCATATTAGTTTTGAGATGTAACTTCATGAATTTGAGCTTAAAACCCAATGGTATAATAGCAGAGGAGTGTCAAGAAACAAATATATATCATGGTTAAATTAGTTGCGTTTACATATCCTAGTTAAGTCGATTGTTAGGGAGTACAATACCTTGTACCCCTTCCCCTTTCTAGTCCAACTTTTCCTCACTATTCTGATATAGCATCTAGAGCTAGGTTTCGACCCTTCCTCCTACGCTTCCGCCCCTAGCGCCTAGGTTCGCGCCGCTCCCCCTACCACCTAGCCGCCCCTAGACTTTGTCCCCTCCCCCCCGTCAGCTAGCTAGCCCGTTGCCCACTAGCTGTCGCCACCTCGCTGCCAGCTTGTTCCCTAGCCGCTGCCAGCGCACTGCTGCCAACTCGCCGCTGCCAACTCGCCGCAGCCAGCTCGCCGCCAGCCGCCGCCGCCGCCAACTTGCCACCGCCAGCCAGCAGCCGCCAGCTCGCCAGCTCACTGCCACCAGCCAGAAGCCGACTGGCTAGCGCCCGCCGCAGCCTCTCCATAGCTCGCCGCCCTCCCTGGCCCGTCGCGAATCCGTCAATCGTTCTCCCCCCCCCCCCCCCCCACCCCTCTCCCCCGCCCCTTGCTCGTCTCACAGCGAGCGCCAGCGCCAGCTAGCAAACGCTCGCCAGTGCTAGCCACCGCCAGCCAGAGCCAGCTCGCCAGCGCCAGCCACCGCCAGCGCCATCCAGCTAGCTCGCGCCAGCCAGCGCCAGCCAATGCCAGCCAACGCCAGCCCGCCAGCACTAGCCAGCTAGCTCGTGCCAACCAGCGCCAGCCAACGCTAGCGAGCGCCAGCCTGCGCCCGCGCCAGTTAGCCGATGTCAGCCAGCCAGTGCTAGCCAACAGCAGCCAACGCCAGCCCGCGCCAGCGCCAACCAGCAAGAACCAGCCGAACAGAGCCAGTTACTGCCGGCCAGCGCCAGCGTCAGCCAGCCAGCACGAGCCCGCGCTAGCCACCCGCCACCAGTGCCAATAGCCAGCTGGCAGCCGCCAGCATCAGCAGCGCTAGCCACCCGCTGCTAGCGCCAGCAACCAGCAGCGCCAGCCGCTGCAGCCAGCGAGCTGCTGTCAGCTCGCCGCCGCCACCTCACCGCTGCCCGCCGTCTGGCAGCCGCTACTACCAGCCGTCGCCCACCAGCTGCCACTGCTCGCTGCCGCTGCCCATACGCCATTGCTGCCGACCACTTCGGCCCATCGCCTGACCTCCTCGATTGGCACAGTCTCCACCGTCATGGTGTTAGGATCTTTGATCTGGACATGGATAAGGTTAGCTCTGCTTTGTATGTGCTGTATGTCGATGACTCTAGTGTGACTGGTTCCTATTACCCTGTGTTGCTTAGTATAGGAGTGCCTAGTTTAGGCTCCCCTGCTGCGTCAGCCATAGGATCCCCTGCTTTGTTTAGCCGTGAGTCCTTTCTCACTCCTCCAACCTCTGTCGCCGCTGCCGCGCTCTCCTTCACTCTGGACTCCGGCGCTTCCCGGTGTTTCTTTCGCGACTCCACTACACTTACGCTGCTTGTTGCTCCCGCTGCTGATGCTCTTACAAACTCTTCCTTTGGTCCTATAGTTGCCCGTAGCTCCTCTACTCTCCCCTAGCCGGCGGTTCCCTATGGCTCGCTTACAGGCTTGCACATCCCCTCGTTCTTTAGGAACCTGGTTGGTGTCGGCTCCCTCTAGGACCTTGGGGTCACCACTACGTTCCCTGGGCACGAGCGGTACGATGTCTGTACTGAGGCCGCCACTGGTGCCCCCCTCACCACGTTCCCCCGGGACCCGGGGTCTGGCCTGTTCACGCTGGACACCGCTTTCCCTCCGGTTTGGACGCCTCCCCAGGACGCAATGTCTTCCCAGGTTGCTGCAGCGTGCTCGTGTCGGTCACTTACTCAGTCGTCGCTTCTGTAGCTCCACTATCTAGCTCACCCCGCTCTCACCCGTCTCCGTCACAAATCCCAGCACCGTCTTGTCCTAGGTCTCCTAGGGTCGTTCCCTGCACTCCCCTCCTCACACGCAGCTCCGTGCACGCCCTGCGTCGAGGGCCGGCTCCGCCGTGCCCCTCACTCCTCCTCATTCGCCCCCACCTCCGCACCGCCGCAGACCCTACACATGGACGTCTGGGGCCCCGTCCCCGTCCATGAGCCGCATCGCGAGCGCTACTTCCTAGTGCTTGTGGACGACTACACACGCTGCACCACCGTGCTTCCCGTGGAGCGGAAGGCCGACATGCGTGACGTTCTTCTCCCGTGACTTGTCTCTGCGCGTGTTCACCGAGGCCTCCCTGAATTGCGTCTTCACTCTGACCGTGGTGGCGAGTTCGCCTCTGGCTGCCTTGGTCGCTTCTGTCGTGTGGAGGGCATCACCTAGACGTTAACCCTGCTGGACTCCTCGAAGCAGAATGGGGTCGCTGAGCGGCGCATCGGTTCGGTCATGGAGGTGGCTTGTACCTCGATGATCCATGCCGGTGCACCCCATTTTCTGTGGCCGCACCCTCAGTGGCCGTAGGTTTCGCCGACCCTCCTCTGGACCAGGTCTCGTGGTGCCGCGTCTACATTCCACGTCTGGGGCTGCCTTGCTCACTTTCCTGCCTCTGCCACATACAAGCTGACTGCCCGCGCTGTCCCTTGTGTCTTCCTAGGTTTCCCCCTCGACTCGTCTGACGGGCAGTTCTACCACCCGCCTTCTCACCGTTTCTTTCACTCTCGCGACGTCACTTTTGATGAGTCCATCTCCTTCTACCACCGCTTTCCCCACCGTGGTCCCCTGGTCACTCCCCCCCAATTCTTGGTTCCCTCCCCTCCTCTGGTCGCCCCTGTTCCTCCCCCTCCCTGCCCTGCCATCTCTGGTGTGACTCATGTCACCCCCCTCCTGTCGGTTGTCCCTGCCGAGGCGTCTGCTGACTCTCGTGCCTTGGGGAAGTCTCGTCCCCCGACTGTCCCCGCCCCGGTCTTCCCTCCCCTGTCGCCGTCGTTGCTGTTACAGCAGCAGCCGTAGCCACCGTCATCACCGCCGCTGGGGTTCGCGTGCTCTGGGGGTGCTGAGGAGCGGGCTGGAGCTGGTTCTGGAGCGGGCTCTGGGGGTTTTGGCGTGGGGCTTCTCGGAGGGAGCCGTGTTGTCGCTGGAGGTTCTAGTACTGGAGTCGGGTAGCAGCCGCAGCCATCGTCGCCGGTGTCCGCTCTTCGCCTCCTCGGTCTTCCTTCTCCAGACCGCCAGCCGTTGCCTCCTCCGTCGCCGCCGCCTCCTTCTTTGCCGGTCTACGGCCCAGTGTTTCCTCCCCCGGACTCCTCTCTGGCTCGTTTCCCTCCCCGTTCTCCTCCTATGTCTCTCCCCTCTCTCTTGACCCGACTCCTCCGTCTTACGTCTGGTTTCGTCGTCCGTCTCGTGCACCTCCTACCTCCTCTGTTCTGTGTTCTCACCCTATGTTGCTTCGTTCTAATGCGTCTCGTGCCCTTCTGCTCCTCCCGTCTCCTCCTCGGTCATCGATTGTTGTGGCCCCGCCCCCGTTCTCTGACTTCCTCCGTACTGCGCGTCCCCTTGTTCCTCGTGTCCTTGCCTCTCTTTTTACCAACCCATCACTTCGTGTGTCGAGCCCGTCGGCTCTTTTTGCTGCTGTCACTGACTTCGCTGCTACCCGCCGCCTGGACTACGCCACCGCTCTGGTCTCTGACCCTGCCTGCCCTCCGACCGTCGGGGTTGTGGCTGCTCTTGGCAGTGACGTCGTAGAGGACATGCAGTTCGAGCTCGCTTTCCTGTCTGTGGCTGCTCCCCATCTCTATTCCACGCTACTAGTCCCTGAGGGTGACCCAGACGGCCTTGACATCCCGACCCCTCGCACCTACACTAAGGCCACCTCGGGAGCTTGGGCCTCGCAGTGGATAGCTGCCATGGAGCATCTCTGAGATGGCATCTTGGAGATCCACCGGTACTTTCGTCGATGCAGTTCCCCCACCTGAGGTGAACGCAGTCAATGGCCGGTGGCTCTTTAAGGTAGAGCGCCCTCGTGGAGAGCCGCCTGTCTTTAGGGCGTGTTGCGTCGCTCGATGCTTTAGTCAGCGTGAGGGGGTGGACTTCTTCCAGACCTTCGTTCCGGCCCCGAAAACGACCACTGTTACACGTAGTAGCACACCGTGATTACGAGCTGCACTTCCTCGACTTCTCCACAACTTTCCTCTAGGGTAGTCGACACGAGCAGGTCTACCTGCGCCGCCCCCAGGGCTTCTCCGGTACCTTTCCCCTTGGCATCGAGTGGCTCCTCCGGCGCCTCGTCTACGGCTTGTGACAGGCGCCCCGTGAGTGGCACGACACGCTGCGTGCAACACTTGCTGACTTGCAGTTCTTCCCTTCTTCTGCAGACCCCTCATTCTTCGTCCATTCCGGCCAGACCCCGTTCTACATCATTGTCTACGTAGAGGACCTGGTCTTTGCTACTGCAGACAGTGACGCGCTGGCCTCCGAGAAGGCCAAGCTGCTAAGGAGACACACCTATGCTGACCTAGGAGAGCCGTGCCGCTACCTTGGCTTGCAGATCTCTAGGGACAGAGCAGCGCGCACCATCACTCTCTCATAGTCACACTGGGTGCGCTAGGTCCTTCAGAGGTTCAGCCATGAGTTCTCTTTCGCACAGCCCACCCCTCTGTCAGTAGACCACAGACTCTCTGCTCCAGTCTCGGAGGAGGTTGTAGAGCCTAGTGGTCCCTACGCATAGCTGGTGGGTTGCCTCACGTACCTGATAAATTGCACTCGTCCAGATCTCGCATACCCTCTCAGCATCCTGGCTCGCTTTGTGGCCCCCGGTAGGCATCGACCACAGCACTGGTCGACCGCTAAGAGGGTTTTGCGTTATCTAGCAAGTACATCGGGCATGGGACTAGTGCTAGGAGGACGTAGATCAGTGGTCCTTACCGGGCACACAGACGCTTCTTGGGCAGACGACGCCGAGACTCTCAGGTCCTCACATGGCTACTCCTTTAGCCTTGGTGCAGGTGCCATCTCGTGGAGGTCCACCCGCTCCTTGTCTGTTGCCCAATCTAGCTATGAGGCTGAGATCTACGCTAGTGCCATGGTGGCATAGGAGCTCCGCTGGCTGACCTTCTTACTCATCGACTTGGGTAAGCGGCCTAGCTCTGCCCCGGTTCTGTACGCTGACAACAGGGCCATCATCCTCATGTGTCAGGAGCCACGACTTGAGGGAAGAGCGAAGCACATCCAGCTGCGGTACTTCCTCCTGCGCGAGCTGCTGCAGCGTCGCCAGGCTCGTGTAGTACACTTGGCTTCCGGTGCCAGCACAGGGGCGAGTGGGAAGGGGAGAGTGGGTCCAGTAGGGGCGGCAGGGATAGTTGGAGCATGAGGGTGAATGGGAGCAAGACAGGGGTCATTTAGATCAAGACTCATCCTCTTCGCCGTGGCCCGGATTCCCACCAGGCAGAAATCTCACAGCGGAGTATGCGAATTCTACATCCCTATCCACACGGAACCATACTGCACTGCTCTGCTGATATCTTTACTGAGGCGCTTGCGCCTAAAGATCATCAGTGGTACTGTGTACAGCTAGGTCTCGTTCTTGTAGCACCTCATTTGCTAGGACCTTGATGGGGTATAACTCTTTTTATATTATTTTGACTGGACTTGTATCCTCTTCCAAGTGGCTGGACTAATAGTGCCGCCCAGGTCTTGCTCTTGTCTTCTCTGTACTCGTTTGATTGGTCTTTATACCCCTGCCTCAGAGGTTGGACTAGTAGTGCCACCGTAAGCAGCTTATCTCTCACCAAGCACTGCTCCTATCCGGTCTAGGGGGTGTGTCAAACATATCTTTGTATGCTGTTATAGACTATACAGGGTTGTGCCTTAGGGAGTACAACCCATAAGGTTATATTCTCTTGTATGTCACTATTCTAGTCATTCTTTCACTTTAATATATAAGACGCAGTGGAGGCCATTTGACCTCCACCCACGTCTTCATTTCGGATTTTCAAAAGGTCTTATTTCCCCCCAACCCACCCTTAGGCATCATAAAAAAATATTATTGTTTGTATTTGTTGGACTAGAATGATGTAATTGTTGTGGAAGTGGATAACCCTATCGATCCTCTCTCTACCTCTAGGAAGGGTACTTGGGAGACTTTCTTCGGAGAAGGTGGATATATGGAGCCTAACCCTCCTGCTGACACCCCTTCTTGTCCCAGTGGTTAGGAGTGGTGACTTCATGACTTGGCATCAGAGCCGTCCGAGGTTCGAATCCTGGTATACACTCTATCCTAGCGGGTGGGTGTATCGTGGCACTGGGATAACCCTATCGATCCTCTCTCTATCTCTAGGGAGGGTACTGGGGAGGCTTTTCTCGGGGAAGGTGGATATTTGCAGCCTTACCCTCTTGATGACATCCCTTCTTGTCCCAGTAGTTAGGACTGGTGACTTTATGACTGTAATTGCCCATTTGAAATGAAGCACGCTGCGATTGCTAAAACGAAAGCAAGCTTTCTCAATTTCTAAGACTTCCGCAGTCTTACTAGTCTACCATTCCAGGAAAGACCCTTGCTCAAGTCTTGAAATATCACAAGGCTGCAACACTGATTCTGGTGTTAGAACTTGTTAATACTAGCTGTTACTGAAGGTACTTCCAGTATTATTTTGTACTAGAAGTACTTGTATTTACATATTCTATACTTAGTCTTTTGCACTGTTTTACAATTTCTTCCATATCTTCTTAGTATTTCTATACTTAGCCATATCATTCTAAATCATAAAACGACACCTATGTTCCTTCCACCCAAAGGATGGAAGGTCAAATGAGTGATTGTGATGATTAGTGCTCGTTGACTAGAGTTACATCGGCAATTTATCGCACTTCGCGATGAAGTGCCACTCAGCAGAGCGAAAGCTGTGGAGGCTGCTTATGTGTGGTGGGTTGTTCTTTCCCTTCCACGTCATCGACAGAATGGAAGATCTGCCATTTGGCAAGCCAACCAGGCTAGACAGGCAGCTTCTCAGCCAATAGAAGTCTCAATGACATGTGGCGGATAATGCCAGGCGCGCCATCAGCTCCAATCCCCTCCCACGCCTCAAGCTGACCAGCTCTCGTTGCGCCCCTAAATTCCAGCATTCTGCGCCTTTCCGGCGGTCCTCCTCCCCCCATCAAATCCAGTTTCTCTGCGCTTCCAACCAGAGCGTTTCCCCGCAGCAGTCACCAAGTAACAACTAATCCCGGCCTGCCGCGTCCCGCTTCAGATCTCCCCTGGACCAGAACAGTCCCCTCAAAACAAATATCCGCGCTCGCATTCGCCGCCAGCCATCCCTTGGATTTCCCCCCCTTCTGGACTTCCTCCAGTCAACCAGCAGCTCCTCACCTCAGCTCCCGTTTTCCCCCCAACCCGCCTTCCGAGAACCCGCGCAAGCAATTGGGGGAAGCAAATTCTCCTTTCCTTTCCCCCTTGCGCTTTGCCTCACTGGGTGAACTTCTCCTGGTCCTTGCCCCAACCCCAACCGCACTCCTGCTGCTGCTGCTAGCCTGCATGTGTGCCCCCTAACAGATTCACATCACTTTTCCCCATCGACCACACTTCCTTTTGTAACACGTTCACACTCTCGGTTCTCTCTTTTCCGGTTGCTCATCTGATCCTTGAACCCAAGATCAGAGAGCCGAGCTTGTTCCCTTCCTTATCACAAAATACTTCCCATCACAATGGCTGCCGCCTCGTGCACCCTCGCAAAGGCTGCTGCTTTTTCCAGCGGCCTGTTCTCCCAGACAGCCGCGAAGCTCGACTCTCTCGCCGTGTCTGGCGGTTTGAGACCAGCCTCTTGCCCGGGCAATGCCTTCGACTCGTTGCGGAAATCCTTCGGCTCCAGCCGCGTCACTGCCATGGCCGGCACGGGCAAGGTTCGTTCGTTTTCCGAGCAGCTGCGTTCCAGAAATCTTGACCTTCTCTTAACCGTGAATTCGTATGCTTGCAGAGCTAGGAACCGCTGTCGACGCACATTTTCTTGCGTTGTATCTGAGTTTTCCGGTGCACGCTCTCACCATTTCAGGGCTCTGTTTAGAAAATGACCCCCCCCCCCCCCCCTCCCCACGGGAAACAAATATTTTAACTGAAGAATGCTCATTCTTCCCATCGCCATTCTATGTACTCACATAGACATACTGGCCTACTCATTTTTCTGTTCTCCCGTGCCCTACATTTTCTTACCCCTGATATCAGTTCTTCGTCGGTGGCAACTGGAAATGCGTAAGTCTCCTTATCTCCTCACTAGCTGCATTAACTCATCCGTTCCGCTAAACCCTCGTATTCTTGTTCATTTCCTTGCTTTCCGTTCGCGACATAAGGAAGCCAAGCGGTTCATTTGGTTGTCACGCTCCTTCCAATGTGGTAACTCCACATTGTACCATTCATAAGTAAAACTCCATTCAAGATTCCCAGCCCAACCTGCGCAATCCGCTGACTTCCTCGCTTCCGCTCTACGCGTGCAGAATGGCACCTCAGACTCCATCGCCAAGCTGGTCACCGACCTCAACTCCGAAAAGCTGGAAGACAACGTCGGTGAGTTCATCCCGCCTCGTTTCCGTTCAGCTATGGCTTCAACCGCGACCTCACCATTCCTCGTCGACTCTAAACACGCCGGTGAATCGACACCGGACTCATTTTCATCTCCTGGAATCCGGGATTCGTCTCCTCTGTTTTCCCCACTGGGCAGATGTGATTGTGTCACCTCCCTTCGTGTACCTTCCTCAAGTCATCGGCGCCGTGAGCAAGAGGATCGAGGTGGCTGGCCAGAACTGCTGGGTCAGCAAGGGCGGCGCCTTCACCGGCGAGGTCAGGTGCGTCCGTCGGCTCGACTCAGAAGCACTACTTGCGCTGCTATCTTCCACCCGCCCCCACCCGTTCCCCACCCTCCCTGCCTCTCCGATCCCTCCCCGTCCCCCTCCCCTTCTCTCCCTCGCTCTCTACCCCTGCATCGTTTTCCTGGCATTATGCGCTCCCTGATGAACTCCCTTCCTCTGGTTGGTCGGATGCCTGGCGTGCAGTGCGGAGATGCTGGTGGATCTGGGCGCCCAGTGGGTCATTCTCGGCCACTCGGAGCGCCGTCACATCCTCAAGGAGTCCAATGAGGTACGCCAACTTATTTCCCGCCAACTTGCCATCTGATTTACCTCCATCTGGTGTCCCGCATCCCCCGGCTGGTTAACCGTCCTGCATCTCAACACGCTCCCTCTTCCCCATCTGTCCCTCCGTTGTCCTCTCGATCCTCGTGCGAGCCCTCCACTGGTCGCCTCCAGTCTCGCGACAATACCTCTCGCCTTAGCGCCTGCCGTCAGTAGAACCTTCATCTTGGCCGTCGCTGACTTCGTTCGCCCCGCATGACCACCTCTTCCATCCTCCCTCTCTTGCGTGCCTGCGTGCCTTCGTGCGTTCCTGCATCCGTCCGTCCGTGCGTGCGTGCGTGCGTGCGTCCTTGCGCGAGCAGTTCATCGGGCAGAAGCAGGAGTACGCGCTGTCCAAGGGCCTGAAGGTGATCGCGTGCGTGGGCGAGCTGCTGGAGGAGCGGGAGTCGGGCCACACCTTCGACGTCGTCTTCGAGCAGCTCAAGGCCACGGCAGGTGAGCTTTCAGTGTCCTCATCCACGCGGCACGTGTCTCTCCATGCGGCTTTCAGTGCGTGCGTCTCTCAAGCCGTCCTTAAAATGCGTCCCTTGAAGCGGCTTTTAATGCGCGTTTCTCGTCTGAGGCCGTGGAAGAATGATCGAGCTGTTCCCGGCGTTTTTTTCCACCTGGTTTTGAAATGTTCTGGTCGTGGTTCCCTGCTCCTAGATGTGCCTTGGTATCATCGCCCATGCACCTGCCGTAAATGTCGAGTGGAACATTAGCCCGGCATTGTATATAGTTCGGATCCAACATATGAGCCTTTCTCGAAAGGCATGGTTTAGCTCGGCCTTGATACGTCTACGCGATGTCCCTGTGCATTAGTTCACGCACGTGTGCCTGTCTTCCGTGTACTATTAACGCACCACGTCACCTCCCCTTGTCCACGTGTGCGTCCGCGAGCAGACCACGTGTCGTCGTGGGACGACGTGGTGGTGGCGTACGAGCCGGTGTGGGCCATTGGTACGGGCAAGGTGGCGTCGCCGCAGCAGGCGCAGGAGGTGCACGCCGCCATCCGCACATGGCTGCAGACCAACGTGTCCGCCGACGTCGCCTCCAAGACCCGCATCATCTATGGAGGTTCGTGCGCGCGCTTCCGGAGTTCTTGTTGGTGTGCTCTTTACCGGATTCGTCGTGCATTGCCGTGTTTGCTGTGTTCGTTGCATGTGTGCGCACTCCTGTAGCAGTTCGGGTTTGCTCCTTGTTTGTTCCGTACGTGCATGAGTTTGATCGTGGGCGTGCTTGTGCGCTTATTGGACAGTGCGGAAACGTGTGGGAAGGTAGAGGGTCAGGGGGTGGGGTTGCAATCAACGGGTTGTGTTGCGGCTCTCTTGAAGAGGAGGCTGGTGGCTCTCTTGTTGCTGGCTGGTGGAAGAGGTTTATGCGAGCACGTGCTTGCTCATGCAAACGTTTTCTATGCTCCTTTCGAAATATCCATTATATATGGCTCTTCAAGCCCACTTATGTGCTCTACACTCGTCACTTGATCCCTTCCTAGTCCTCACCACCATTCCCCACCTATTCTTCTCTTCCCCTCTGTGGCCTTCAGGATCCGTAACTGCTGCAAACTCTGCTGAGCTTGCGAAGCAGGAGGATATCGATGGTTTCCTTGTTGGTGGTGCCTCACTAAAGGTGCGCCCCTTTCCCTTACGGTTTTCCTATTCTTTGTGCAAAGCATATGTGTTGGGTCTTTTTTTCCCTCGTGTTCTAAGCTTTTTTATTCCTGCTCTGTGCCTAGACTCATGGTTTTGTCCGTTTGATGCTATTGCAGGGACCTGATTTTGCCGCCATCTGCAACTCCGTCACCTCCAAGGCTGCCACTGTCAAGTCTGCTTGAGCGTTCATTCCCCATGATTCCTACTTCCTATCCAAACAGCCTGTTTTCTTTTGCTAAGCAGCCTGCTACATGCCCATATTTCCTTGAGAAGTACTTACTGTATTTGTAGGAGCATGGAATTGTTTGTCAGTCCCATCCAAGGGACGTGATGCCACCTTTTGAATGCTGTGACCGCGGTGACCTGCTGGTATGAAGGTAATGAGGTTCATGCACCGGTAAGCTAGTTACATACTGGTTCCATGATGGAACCCGTGAGAATATAATGGTAAGGGAAACATATCGTGGCACTCGCTATAGCGGCCAGACACACATAGTACAGTCACTTCAATGTTCCACCAGGGAGGGCCAACTACACTGGGTTTCGGATACCCAGCAGCTGGATGTCAAATATAACTGTGCCGAGGGACGACCCTTCGCCGTTAGCCAGGCGAGTGGGATTAAACACAGTCGTGAACAGGCGCTGCCTGTCAGAATACTGATAGAGGTATTGGAGGGTGAACAAAGAGAGGGCTTGGCTGAGGGAGATGAGCAGGCGGTGAGGAGGGGAAGATTCTAGAATAAACCATCGATCAGCACATGACTTGCGAGGCTCAGGTATTAAAGGAGCAAAACGTAGGGCATCAATGAAATTGACGAGCAAGTGATATGGTGAAGACATGCCACTGTGCACTTTTCCCCACTCCATCAGAGCCCAACAAAGCCCAGCAGAGTTATTCAACAAGGCCAGGCTTACTCTGGGGGGAAGCGGCAGATCCTCCCTGGTTTGGTATGCCACGTTGGGAGGGATGATGGCTCTCCGCACGCCACCCACCCTCATGCCACGCACGGCAATGCTCAGCCCCTGAATGACCTGCCGTGGGACACAATGGTTGTGCGGTCGTGTGATTGCGTGTGGTGAAAGGGCAGACAGGCAGGTAGGGGAAGGGGGCGAAGAGAAGGAAACAATGGTTGTGGGTGATGACATAGAGTGGATGGGTGGAAAGGCAGGGATGGCAAGTGAAGGCGGGGAGGTGGATAGAGGGGGAGAGGGGGGTGGGGAAGGGGAGGGGGCGTGATCAGATTTCTGACTTATCGATTCTTATCCATTTTCACCATTCACCCGTAACAAACAGACACGCGAGCGGAAAAGCACCAGCACCACCTTGGGTGACCCAACGACGAACTCGAACGGAATCGCCTCCCCATCGGCATCGCGGTGCTCAAACGTGCTGTCGAAGCGCCACCCCTGCTTCGCGCCCAGCCGCGCATAGTAGTGCACCGCCACCGTCTGCCCGTCCACGGGCATGGCTCCCGCGCCCTGCCGTATGTCCGCCACTTGCACCCCGCCTTCCACCTCCGAAAACGCGCCACCCCTGCTGCTGCTGCTGCTGCTGCTGCTGTTGCTGCTGCTGCCGCTGCTCGCGGCTGCCGTCTCTGCAGCTTCCGCTTGCGGGATTAGCGGGAAGGAGGCGTGGGAGAGGGTGGAGAGGGGCGGAAGGGCGAGCAGCAGCGGTAGGTGCAGGAGCGATCGCCGGGACGCGCGCGCCGCGCGAAGTTCGACGGAATTACTCGCTGCCTCGTCGCTGCCGTTGTCGTTACACCCATCGCCGATGGCGTCGAAAAAAACGCCGTCGTTGTTTAAGTTTATGCTCTCGTAGGTAGTACTGCTCCGCGCGGCTGGCGCGCCACCCGAGTGGGTGGACGGGTGATGGCTCCCCGCATCCCTGGCGCCGGAATAAACGGAAGAGTTTTCGGTTATGCGAAGATGAGGGTGGATGCTCGAGTGTGCGCGCGAACGAAGATAACGCCGCGGGTTACATTCGCGGAAGGTCCGCGCATGCAGGGGGAGGAGAGGGGTGGGGGGTTGCGGTCGGTGTGGCAAGGTTAGTGGTCGTGAGTCAATTGCCAAGGTCGCGGAGCGATCTCGGGTGTACATACGACGAGCCAGCGGGGAGAAGGGCGGCGACGCGTGCGAAGAAAGGAGCATGGTGATTGGACTATCCATGGTGCAATTGACTAGGGAAGGGACATAGATACCAAGGTCAACTGAACACCCAGCCAGCCGCGAATCGAGCTGCCTGATGGTTTCAGCATGGGGAGGCAGCATGCACTCCGGTGTTGGTCGCAGTGGTGAGGGAGACGGGGAAAAACGCGATTCAAGCAGGAGTCATAAGGATCCAGATTTGAGAGAATTGTGTGCGAGTGTACTATCAACACATGCCTAGCACACAGAAGGGAAATTAGAGGATTCAGAAAACGACAAGAATAATATGGTAATCAGAATGTGTGTATGGTAATCAGAGTTCATTGACAAATAAAACAAAGGTTTTCGGCTTATCAACATGAGCTAATTACGGATCTGGCTTATAATGCAACTCGAACCTGATCACGGAAACAGCGCTCACTCACCAGCAACCGCATCTATATCCTGTTTTTTCTGGGTAAGACCTGGAATCTCGCTGACCAATAGCAGTGAAGTGGTGACGTTGAATCTTGGATTCAATCTGTCACGGTGCGAGCAGTGAAGCCCTCGCGCTTCGTAAATGATTGTGGGTAAGTGGAGCAACAAACGCCAGCAACAACTGCTCTGAGCGATGAGGTGGCACTTGGTGTGTGCGGGCGCGCTGCTGGATCTGTGATCAAACGTGGTGGTCGGTTGGTCCTGGTGGAGCTCCCATCACATCGCCTCATCCATATGCACAGAAGCAGTCTCCTCTCTTCCTGCTTCCCTCCTGGCTCTTCTTCCTAGCCCGTACATCTCTCCCCTTGGCCTGACCCAAATGGAGTGAGCCCAGAACGAACTGAGGGCGTGTGACTCTCAGTACGAACTACGCCAAAATCCGAACAGAACGTCACGAACGTGTCGAAAAAAACGGGAGAAAACCCCAAAGGAGAGGACGCAGACCGTTTGAATGGCAGCATTCGAACGGTCAGGCATGCATCGTTCGAACGGTGCTCCCTCCCGCGTTACAATCCCCTGACGAACACCTGCGGGCCCAAATGTGGCGAGTGTGGCGAAGGGCGTTTCCTCTCACGCTGTCGCATGCGTTCGAACAATCGCACCTTGGGTCCTGACGGCACATGAATTCCGCTGAGAATTGGTTTTCGCTTTTCACCGCTTTCAAACCCGTGGCACCAAACTCGACTGTATGAAACGTACGCCGGATGTACTCTTGGGACACGCCCTCAGATTTGGGGAAGTGGTGTGGCGGCACACAGGTCTCTATCATGGGATGGGGAATTCCACTTCCTGTGAGCGACGTCGCCAGGGAAACGTGTACAACGGGGCCATGTCGCCATGTACCTCACATGACATCGGCTCTGTGTTTTTTGCGGCAGGAGCAGCGGTTCGTGTACAGTACTTACGGAGGTAACCTTTAGACATCCGAGGGGTCAATAAGAGAAGGCGACAAAAAGGTGGAGACACACGAGCTCGGTCTGTTTTACTATGCTGTTGTCGAGTTTCTCAGACCAGAAAATCCAAGTTCAGCGAGCAGTGAACTCGTTCATCGGAGTATTCGAGGCTCGTGTCAAACTTCACGCTAGACGCGGAAGACACGAAGCTGGAAGACCCGAGGCTTCGGGTACACGACACACATACCACCCACGACTAGAAACACATAAACCCAACAATCTTTTGTCTGCGAAGTGAAACCATGGAATAAAGGATTTGCTGCGCATCTTGGTTGCACTTCCATCATTGAGCATTGTAGCACCTGTTTGTTGGTGAACCCGAAGTTATGGCTGGAAGACCCGCAGTTGGGGCTCGGATGACATGACCGGAAGATTGACACGAGCCCCGAATCACCCAATCCAAGTGCATTGAGGTACTCAGTGGATGCCTCAAGCGTTGTGTAAACGCTTTCTTCTCACGCTCACTCCACATACTGCAAACGCTCACTTTTATGATGTGAGCGCTGCTAGGTTGGTGCTTTCAAGGCTTCTGCCCCACCTGCCCGAGATAGGAAAAGCAGTTCCATTCTCTGCCACCCTCACATCCGCCGTGTGTCGTCTCGTAAAGCTCCAACTCAAATCCCAACCTGAGCCGCCCAATGTTTTCTCAAGGACCCTCCCTCCAAAAAAACGTCATTCTATCCACCCCAAGGAAGCACGCAAGCACAGCACACCTCTCGATCCCTCCCTCTCTCACTCGCGCTTTCTGTTCGTACGTAAGATAATCAACACGCCGCCGCCTGCTTGTCCCCTAAGAGCGGTAGCGACAGCTTGGGCAACACTGCACCGTCACAGGGCCGTCATTCATTCCTGCTCGTTCCACCCTCCACGCCAAGTCCCCTCGCCAAAAATCCTGCTGTGCGCCGTAGGTCTGAGATGGCGAGCATTTGGTGGGAAAGAAGGCTGCTAAAAGCTTCAGTGCATAAACCCTCTCGCCAAGAATTCGCCAGGATGGGATGATTACTGCGTAGCACAAATCAACTCGACGAATGGCTGGTTGTTTTCTCGGAGCACAGCTGAGGCTTCTACTGTTGCCTGACTTCCACTTCTGCTCTTCGTCGTTCTATTGTTTTTAGTCTTTTTATTCTAAAAGAGATATTGAGGCAGTCATCGGCCATAGTGGCAGCTGCTAAAATTTACAGACTCAAACGCCAATCGCCTTCTAGAAGGTGTTCGCCGTTTGCGAGACTGTGCCTGGAGTAGCGAAAGAAAGGGTTGTGAGGCATGGTAGCCTCGAGGAGCGTTTCACGGGCAGCTGCCGTTCCCATCGTCTTCAGCTGACCGCGTCCCTCTGCGCTACCCCTACTAGTAGCCTTCCGCTTTCCCCCCACCCCCTCCTCCGCCTTTCGTTCGGTCGTAACTTTAGCATTAGAATTCGCCATCCTGAGCTGCGCACCCCTGCGGGCCGCGTGCCTTTAGCGACACAGTAGTCGTGCGAGAATCGGCGTTTATGCGACACTCGTTCGTGCGACAGCCCATCGAGGTCACTTGCGATCTGATTCGCGTCGTCTCTCGTCCGACGGGACGCATCACCAAGACGCGGCATCTCACTTCCGTCTCACCTCCGCTTTCAATAATCATACTATTAACGTCGCGTTCGGTCGAGCCGGCCGCACGCTCTCCGCCAGGGGCCACAGCGTCAGCAGCAGCAGCAACAGCAGCGCCGGCGGCGGCGGCAGCAGCAGCACGCGTCGCGCCATGGACGCGTTCCACTTCCAGCAGCACGCCGCCGCCCTCCATGGCGCCGCCATCTACCCTCTTGAAACCCCCGCCCTGCTCCAATCGCCGCCTTTGCCACTCCCGAATAAGCCGCCGCAGATTCAGCAGCAGCAGCAGCACCAGCAGCACCAGCAACACCTGCATCAACAGCCGCAGCCGCAGCAGCAGCAGCAGCAGCAGCACCACCAGCAGCATCACCATTTGCCTGAGCTGTTCGATCCGCACGTGCAGCAGCAAGGGCAGGGGGGCGAGACGGGGCCGGGAGGAGCACAGGGACCGCAAGATGTGTCGCCGCATGCGTCGCAGCATGTGTCGCAGGATTTGTGTCTGCGTGCGTGGCAGCATGTGTCGCAGGATGTCTCGCAGGATTTGTCGCAGCGTGCGTGGCAGCATGCGTCGCAGGATGTGTCGCAGGATTTGTCGCAGCGTGCGTGGCAGCATGTGTCGCAGCACGACCCGCTTGTAGCGCCGCAGCATCTGCGCATGGTCGCCGCAGGCGGAGCGCAAGCAGCCCAGAACGGCTGGCCTCTACTACCAGCTCACCATGACCATTGTGACAACGCCGCGACCAACGCGCCAGATCACTGTGACGGACACCCCCACGTCACCGGCGGCGGTGGCGGCGATGGTAGTAGTCAGCTCGGAGCGCCGAGCCAGCTGCGTGACATCATGTGTAAGTGTAGGAAACTCGCTTCCTGTTCTCCGCGGTGTGTCGTTAGTGTTCGTCTGTTTTTCTTCCGAGCTTTCTTGCTTACAACTAGTAGTAGTAATTGCTTCCCGCGAACACAAGAGTCTTACGTCATGACATAAACTGTGTCGTCCTTCTCGCACGTCATCATGCACAGCCGTGCGTTTTCTAAATCGTTTCGGTATTCCGCTCCTTCCGCTCCTCCCCTGCCCCGGCCTACTCGTATTTGCGAACTGTCGTCCTCCGCATCCCCCTTTCCCCCCTTCTTCCGCCACCAGCAGCGCCCCCCCCGCCGTCGCACGCGCTCTCTTCCGCGAATCTGATGCACCCGCGCGGGGCCGCCGATTCCGCCGCTCGTCACATGGAAGCCTCCCCGCGCTACGCGCTCCTGCAGCACCTGCAGCATTCCCCCTCACAGTATTCCCCCCTGGAGCAGTCCCCCTTGAAGCACCGGGACACGGAGTGGCCAGACGGGTTCTCAGCTCAGGGAATGTCGACGCAGGTATGCATAGATAGACAGGAAGCTTTATTTCCCCTGTCTTTTGGGTCGCATAAAAAAATGTCCATAGACAGGGTTTTTCTTTCTTTCTTTCTTTTGTCTTAAAATATATATATATATATATATATATTTCTTCTTCTTTTTCTTCTCCATCCTGTTTGTTTTCTAGCCGTTCAGCCTCGGTTCTCGTTTCCAAGCCTTTTTTGGTGGCGCCATAATAACCCACCCACCATCCTTGTCCTTCCTTCCTTCAGTCACCCTGTGGCCTTATTTCTTACAGCTTGTTGCATTGCCTGCATTGCAAGAATTAGGTCACTGACCAGCCCAGGACCAGGAGTACCCTCTGCCTTCCCTAATTAATTCTTACAACTTGCATCTAGTCCTTATTTAACCCCCCGCATCCTCCCCCCACCCCACCCCTCCCTCCCCTTCCCCTTCCCCTTCCCCTTCCCCTTCCCCTTCCCCTTCCCCTTCCTCCCCCCGTCCCCCGAAAACAAAAATCCGTTCCAGGTATCCCTGCAAGATCGCCCCTTCAGTTTCCCAAGCCCCTCCAGGCATTCACTTGCGGACCAGCCGAGCCTGATGCTCCCACACCACCTAGACCCCTCCCTCCCAACGCACCCAGCAGCCCAACCCAACGGGTACCAGAGCCTGCTCTCCCTCCGCCATCCGTCTAGGCAGCCACAGGATGCTATAAGCCATGATGTGCTTCTTTCCCATGCCAGTGCCGGCGCCACGCAACCAGCAGCAGCAGCGGGGGGAGCAGGGGGAGTAGAGGGAGGAGGGGGAGCAGTGTCATCGGCATCAGCGGTAGCGGAAACAGCACCATCAGCAACAGCTGCAGCTGTAGCGGCCGCGGCAGCCATAGCTTCAGCTCTTAGCCTCTCCTCTCATACCAGTCCCTACGGCCAAACTACTACTAGCCATTACTCAAATACTACTGACACCGCTTACGCTGGCTCTCCCTATGCCATGGCTGACTATACCAATCGTGATATTATCAGGAGCTTACAGTCTGGTAATGGCATGGGTGATTATACCGAAGGTGCAGAGGTTGGGATAGGAGGGTTCAGGGAGGGGTTTCTTCATGGTGGCGGTGGCGGTGGCGGCGGTGGTGGTGTTGGTGGTGGTGGTGGTGGTGGTGGTGGTGGTGGTGTTATGATTCCTGGAGGTGGTAACAGGCGTAACGAGGTTCTCCTTTCATTCTTGTCCCCGCCTCGTGCGACATCGATGGTAGGAGTGATGCAATCGCTGCCGTTCACCCTCACACATTCAATGGCGCACTCACAACAGCAGTACCACCTGCAGCAGCAGCAGCAGCAGCAGCCGCAGGAGCAACAGCAGGGACAGCAGCTGCAACAGCAGCAACACCAGCAGCCGCAGGAGCAACAGCAGGGACAGCAGCTGCAACAGCAGCAGCAGCAGCAGCAGCAGCAGCAGCAGCAGCAGCAGCAGCAGCAGCAGCAGCAGCAGCAGCAGCAGCAGCAGCAGCAGTATCACTACCAGCAGCAATACCAGGAGCAGCAAAGAGAGGTGCATCAGTTGCAGTTTTCCCCAAGTGACGCCCCCCCTGGTTGGGGCCGCTCCCCTTCCGCTGTGGACCTTGCTTCAGCTGCTGCCGTCTCCGCCTCTGTAGCATGTGCTGCGCTCTCAGCTGCCAATGACGACAACACCCATGCCAGCAACCATGCCAACACCCATCCCAGCAACCATGAATATAGCAACCATAGCCGGAATCATGCCCTCACTTCAAATAACCAGGACAGGAGCCATGAGAGGCGCTTTGTGAGAAACCCTGACAGGAATTTCGCCAGCAGCTTGAATGGTTACCATGCGCATGAGCGCTCCAGTGTTGAGGCGCCCCAGAACCTGAATGGCGGCCAGGCCCATCGGCGCTCCAACACCCCCTCGCCGCCGCTCCCTTGCGGTGCTCGGAACGAGCCCCTGCGAGGCGAGCAGCACCCTCGGATAGAGGCCATGGGAGGGGAAGGCGGAGGGGGAGTTAGTGGTGGTGGTGGTGGGTCTGATGATAATGGTGTTGGCGGGGGTGCAAATGGTGTGACGGGCAGAGGAGGAGGAGGAGTGGGAGGAGGAGGAGGGGGAGGGGGAGGGGGAGGGGAGGGGGGAGGGGGAGGGGGAGGGGGAGGGGGAGGGGGAGGGGGAGGGGGAGGGGGAGGGGGAGGGGCAGGGGGAGGGGGAGGGGCAGGGGGAGGGAGTGGTATTCGGAGTGCGGGAGGGTCGATGCTGTATCATGGTCAAACGTCGCTGAACTCCCGGGGGTTCCCACTTCGCCCTGTAAGTCAATCATGAGATGTTGTATGCATGTGTATGCAGGTGCAAAAAAACGGCATCGGTATTAACGGTCCGTTTTAAATGGCCGTTTTTTACGGTGGGTTTTGGTAAAAAACGACGTTTTTTTGTTAGACCTTTTTCATGATTTTTTGTTTATATATAAAAACCACGCGTAAACAAGTGGCCTGATCGTTAAGGCGGCCTGCATCGTTCTACGGGGTAATTAGCGGCTTTGAAACAAGCATGTGATGTCCATGCCCCTAGTCTGGCGTCTTCTAGGCCTCATTCTGCTCCTACTCCACCATCCCCCCCGTCCTCCTCCTAAGCGTCATCCATCTAGTCCCCCCACCCCTAGTCCTCCCCCCCCCTAAGCGTTATTAGCTCGGCCAAAAACAATGTACACCGTACGTAGTATACAGTGGTACGAAAAAAACGGCCGTTTTTTTGCACCAAACGCAAAATGCAACTTTCAACCGTTTTAATCGTATTCTATGACCGTTTGATACAATCCCGTTTTAAACGGCAAAAAAAGGTTAAAAAACGCCGTTTTTTTGCATGTGTATGCATGTGTATGCATGTGCGTGCATGTGTGTGCATGTGGGTGCATGTGTATGCATGTGCGTGCATGTGTATGCATGTGTGTGCATGTGTATGCATGTGTGTGCATGTGTGTGCATGTGTGTGCATGTCTATGCATGTGTATGCATGTGTGTGCATGTGTGTGCATGTGTGTGCATGTGTATGCATGTGTGTGCATGTGTATGCAGGCGTATGCATGTGTATGCAGGCGTATGCATGTGTGTGCATGAGTGTGCACGTGTATGCACGTGTGTGCACGTGTTTGCATGTGTATGCATGCATATGCATGTGTATGCATGTGTGTGCATGTGTGTGCATGTGTATGCATGTGTGTGCATGTGTATGCATGTGTGTGCATGTGTACGCATGTGTGTGCATGTGTTTGCATGTGTGTGCATGTGTGTGCATGTGTATGCATGTGTGTGCATGTGTATGCATGTGTGTGCATGTGTCATGTGTGTGCATGTGTATGCATGTGTGTGCATGTGTGTGCATGTGTATGCACGTGTGTGCATGTGTGTGCACGTGTGTGCATGTGTATGCATGCGTATGCATGTGTATGCATGCGTGTGCATGTGTATGCATGTGTGTGCATGTGTATGCATGTGTATGCATGCGTGTGCATGTGTATGCATGTGTGTGCATGTGTATGCATGTGTATGCATGTGTATGCATGTGTGTGCATGTGTGTGCATGTGTATGCATGTGTATGCATGTGTATGCATGTGAATGCATGTGTATGCATGTGTGTGCATGTGTATGCATGTATGCATGTGTGTGCATGTGTATGCATGTGTATGCATTTGTCTGCATGTGTATGCATGTGTATGCATGTGTGTGCATATACGCATATGCGTGCAGGTGTATGCATGTGCGTGCATTTATGTGCATGTGCATGCATGCATAGAGTGCCAAGTTCTCTCGCTCCCTATCACTCCCCACCAACCCCCCCAACCCCTCTCTCTCCTCCCTCCTTTCTATGCCAATTCCCCTACATGCCGCGTTTCCTCGTTATCACCACCATCACCACTCTTCAATTTATATTCTATCCCACCTCATCCCCAATCATGTTATCCATTTCGAAACCACATCTCCTTCCCCCCTCCTCCCTCTCCCTTCCTCCCCCCTCCTCCCTCTCCCTTCCTCCCTCCCCCCCCTCACCCCAATCTCCTCCCATCTTCCCCCATGTCGGCCCATGTCTCTCCGTGCTTCGCGTTGCCAACCATGCCAACAGGACGACGTGGACTGCGCCTTCTACATGAAGTGCGGCAGGTATGGCATAATGACATAATGGCATAATGGCATAATGGCACCATCTGACGTGTTCTGTTTCTGTTTTTGAGACGCTTCAAACATAGGCACCATCTGATGTGTTCTGCTTCTGAGAATTCTAAAACATGCGGCAGGTATGGCACCGCGGTGGTCTGATCGGGTTGGACTCAACCCACCCACCCACCCAGCCGTCTAGTCGTTACCCCGTGATCTGCCCATTGCAGCCCTTAAAGCCCTGTAGTATTTCAAGCCCAGATTCTGATTCCCGTGTCAGCATTTCCTTAGACTTCGCCATTCACTTGTGTTTGGTAGCCCATAAAACTCACCCCTGCCACATGTCGGGTAACCCTTTCCCACATGTAGCCTTAACCTCGAAACGCCCAGCATGCATCGCATCACATGTGGTATCTCATCACACGTATTAGTCTTCTGCCCCATTCCCTCCTTTCCTCTCTCCTCTCCTTTTCCCCTCTCCCTCTCTCCTCTCCCTATTCTCACCTCAGTTGCAAGTTCGGCAGCACGTGCAAGTTCAACCATCCCGAGCTGCCGCACATGCCTCCACACATAGGACCGCCAAGTGAGTCGTTCGTGCCAAGCCATGCTATGCTATGCTTGCTATGCTATGCTATGCTATGCTATGCTTGCTATGCTATGCTATGCCATGCCATGCCATGCCATGCCTGGCGTGTTCTCAAACTCTACCTTTCTTGCTGCCAGTCAATGTCCGCTGACCCCTCTTCTCCTGTCTTCCTTCCCTTTTCTTCCCTCCCTTTCGCTCCCTTTTCCTCCCCTTCCCTCCCTTTCCCTCCCTTTCCCTCCCTTTCCGTCCCATTCCTCCCGCCCGTTGCTCCCTCTCTCCTGTTCTCGTCTCTCGTCCCCTCGGCGCCTCTGTTCACTCCGGTTCAGGGTTCGCTTCCTCCGCTCACCGAGCAGACTGCCATCCTGACCTGGTGCGTATGCATGCTATGTGTAGATGTGAAAAAGGGGGATTTCGGGTTTAGGGAAGGAAAAAAGAAGGGGAAAGGAGGAGGAAGGGGAGGAAGGAGGGGGAGAGGGGGGGGGGGGGAAGAGTCACCATTGTTTTGTCTGCCCAGGATGCAAGTTACCTCATGTGGGTGCGTCCACATCACACACACTCCACATTACCTCTCCAACACACACACACACACACACACGCACGCACGCACGCACGCACACACACACACACACACAGTGCTAATGAGAGTTGACTCTAAGGCTCTCTTCGGTCTCCTTGCCCCCTCCCTCCCTCCTCTATGTCTGACCTTTACCCCGGTCCCTCTTCCCCCACATTCCCCCTGCGGCAGCAGCAGGGCGTAACATACACGTGGCTGCTACCAGCAAGCCTTGTGACATCAAAACGCCATCCCCCTTTCCCCCTTTCCCCCTTCCCCTCCCCCCCCCCCCCCCCCCCCCCTCCCCTCCCAGCAGCATCAGGACCTAACAGATGCGTGGCTACTACCAGCAGGCCTTGAGACATCTCAAAGCGCCATCCCCCTTCCCCTTTCCCCCCTTCCCCTCGCCCCCCGCTCCCTCCCCAGCAGCATCAGGGCCTAACAGATGCATGGTTGCTACCAGCGGGTCCTCGCATGCACCCCGTCCCGCCTCAACCCTTTCCTGAACGACCCGGCCAACCAGAATGTGCTGTGAGCCCTCCCTCCTCCCTCCCACGCGTGCTGCCACTTAAGCTGCCACTTGTGCGGCCACTTGTGCGGCCACTTGTGCTGCCACTCGTGCTGCCACTCGTGCTGCCACTCGTGCTGCCACTCGTGCTGCCACTCGTGCTGCCACACGTGCTGCCGAAGGCACGAGTCAGCTTTCGATTCGACTAAAAAAATACGCCTCTTTCGACGGTAGCTGCTGTTCGTTATCCCTGCGTTTTGAGGCGCGTGCAAACAACAGCCCCTCATTCTTCCGTTCCTTCACCTATTTCCCCTCCCCCGTCCGCCCCCCCCCCCCCCCCCCCCCCTCAACGTCAATACCAACGCCAACGGTTCCACATGAAGGCCGGGCATTGCAAGTTCGGCTCTGACTGCAAGCTTCTGTTCTGTATCTTGTTCTGTAGCCAGTCCCAATGCAGACCCGCACCCGACTCCTTGTCCCTTTCCCCCTCCCCCTCCTCTCAACAGTTCTACGTGAAGACCGGGCAGTGCATGTTCGGCTCGGACTGCAAGCTAGTGCTTGGAATTCTCTAAACAACCCCCACTCATCTACTCGTCTCTTCCCCCCTTCCTTCCCCTAAACCCCAACAGATTTACATAAAGAGAGGGCAGTGCAAGTTCGGCCCGGACTGCAAGGTCATATTTTAAAGAGCAAACAAGCACCCCCACGCATGCTCTCCCACCCCCCCTCCCTTTCCCCCTTCCTTTCTCCCTCCCAAACGCCAACAGTTCTACATGAAGACTGGGCAGTGCAAGTTCGGCTCTGACTGCAAGTTCCACCATCCCCGCATGCGCCTCCCCTACCCCTCCACTGCTGCTGCTGCCGCCGCAGGAGGAGCGGGGGGAGCAGGGTTAGGCACAGGCGGAGCGGGGGGGAATGGGGGAGGAGGAGGGATGGGGGGAGCTGGGGGGGCCACTGGGGGCAGTCATGGGGGGATGTTGCAGAATAGGTTGGGAGCGGGTGGAGGAGGGGGAGGGGGGATTGGGGGGGGGGGGGGGAGGAGGAGGAGGAGGAGGAGGAGGAGGAGGAGGAGGAGGAGGAGGAGGAGGAGGAGGAGGAGGAGGAGGAGGAGGAGGAGGAGGAGGAGGAGGAGGGGAAGGACTGGTGGGGGGTGGGGGTATGGGTGTGCGACTCACAGCAGCAGGATTGCCGAGACGAGAGGTGGGCAGGAATGAGCTTGAGAGGCTGGGCACTCATGCGTGCTATTATGTCTGAGTGCATGGCGCATGGTGCATGGTGCATGGTGCATGCGTATGCATC